TCTATTTTTAAACGACAGGCAACTATAAATGCAAATACAGGAAACTGGTTCTCTCTGGTAGCAACTGATACAGTGACACAGTAAACAAACAGCTGTGAGATATGGGAACACAGTGCTTCTGTTCAGACTTTCTTTAACAGATCACTTAAATAGTCATATATGAAACGCTAATTATTTCCCACTCTGATAAGATCCAAGTCAACAAAGTCATAAAGAATCTGCTTCATTTTAAACATAGGAGTTGTTTCAAGGACTTCAGAGAGACAAGTAATGCACTTGACATGTTTTAGTAAACAAGGGTGTTGTCGAAAAATATTTGCCTATGTTAAAGTATAAAATGTCTTCAGTTTGAACACATGGGTGTAGAATTTACACCCAACATTATTTATTTATTTATTTTTACAAAGAAATAACTTTGTATTGCCTTGCCTTTGGTGCTTGTTGTTTATTAATGCCACACCCACGCTACTCTATAAATCTAATGGTTTTCAGTTTTTAGTATTAAAACTGTAAAAAGACTCTAACCTAGGTCCTGGGTGGCATGGGAGGAAAGGAACGTGAAAAGGCAGAGAATGTCTCTATGAATCATATAAACACCACTCTGCCCGCAAGTGCTTATACAATTCTGAGGGGTGGGGGAGAGAAGAATAAAATTCTATTGACTAGCCTAACGTGACTACACAGTAGCTGATTATTTTGTCCCTATATTGCAAATTCTGTGAAAAAAAAGTTTAAAACCCCCCATAATAATAGCTAAAGAAATAAATTTCTGGCTTCCTAAACAGGTTTGCATGAGTTCGTTCTTCACTTCCTGTCCCAACTTCCCATTTTCTGTTCTTGCATATGGTTATTTCCCTTTTTTTTTTTTTTTTTTTTCGTAATCATCACTGCATTGACCAACTCTGGAAAGAATTAATGACTGACACCCTTGTGCTTCGGGTAATTTTTGAGATGTCAGAAGAGTTGGTGTACCGTTAAGGTCTGCAATGACATACAAGACGACAGACAAATGGTTAACATAATAGGCTTCAGTATGCAAATTAAACTCCTTGTTTAGCCTGTTTGACTCTTTGAAAGCATCTAAAACTTTCTATGCCTAAATTCCTCATCTGGGTGCAATGGCATACACAGTGGAAGTTCTGGGGGCCTCAGATCCTAAAGTAAGAGAAGTCAAATAATGAAATAACAAACTTAATAGAGGCTTACTGGTATACACTTCTTTCTGCCCACAACGCTGAAGATGATCTACTATCATATGATAAATCTGAGAGTGTTTCTAGGGACAGTTTATCTCTATGGATGGCATCAGTCCTCTGTCACAAAATGTAAAAATGTAACTGCTTGATTTAAAATAAAGACATGAGAAATATTCTCAAATCTTTCTAAATTTGTAGCATCTTGCATCCTCCTGTGCAAATGATGGAGATTTGCTAGTAACCGGAACTGCCTATACCAAGGAAAAATAGTAAGACCCAGCTCAAACTGGCACATTTGGTAGTTAAGTTTGAAAAGCGTCAGCAGCCCATCCAGTCTAATTCTGTTATGCTCAGCTGTGGAACCACATTCAGGAATGGGCTAACTCCTGTACAAGCAGCCTCTGGACATCTGGGACATTACAAACCTGGCCATGTCTTCGGACAAGCCTGACAGAGACAGCCAGTGACCTAGTTCTATAATGGCTGTTGAATAGTGGTGTAGGCATGTTATCTGGCTAATATCTGGTACATCCCCTCGGCTTATCTTTCATTTGATGGTAGCAGAAAATAAAGTTGCAGCATTCTAGAAAGCGGGTATATCAGATGGGTAGGGCACAGCTGACAGGATATAAGATGGCAGGAGTTTTTTTTAAGACCGAGGCTATTAGTCAATACATTCCATTCAAGTGCTTCCAAACAACTCCTCTGTCTTTCTAAAAGACATCTAGTTACAACTCATTCAAAATGTAAACATTCTCTGGAACCTATGGTGAAACAGTTATTTGTTTCTTCTTTGTCTCACTTCAAAAGCAGTAAACACTAAGAGGACAGTTTTCATCTCTAATAAGAAGCAAACAAATATCCGTATGACTAACAGCTGGGCACCTTCATCTGTTACCTGCTGTTCACTGCAAAGAGCTCTTGCCCTAAGTGCACTGTAAGAACATAACAATCATATAAATTATACTCTGGAGATTCTGCTAAAGATTAGCAGATGGAGGAACTTCTCTCTAAACTGAGGGATTGCTTTAAATTAGTCTGCTCCTGTTCTTGTTAGGGAACAGAAAAGAATTTCAAATTAAGAATAAAGCAAAAAGCTGTAAAAATCAATATTTGAGTTGCTTTGTAATCAGATAGATAACCTATTATGTGTTGAGGGCATTCCCTCCAGGCCTACAATACCTGCTTACTCCCTTGGGTCACTGCCCTTCAAGCTCTTTTGCATTCACGAATCTGCAGCTGTGAGGTCCTTGAGGATTTATTCTGCTCTATTTGCCAACAATCACACTTACAGATCTTCTGCATTTCATCATGATTGCAGAGCTGCCAGCAATGCAGTGACAGAAAACCAGGCCAGCTTTTTCCAGGACCCACACCAACTGCCAGCCTGTGGGGGCTCTGCAGCACGTAACAACAGTCTGAGTCAGGAGGCCAGATCCTGTACATTTGGCAGAGGAAAAAAGGCAGCTTCAGAAGGTATTTCCAAACAGCAGAACCTGACTGGATGTTCTGAACTGCCTCCTGGAGGAACTTCTATCTCACCTATAGGGACACCATCCTCCTAATTTCAACACTTAACTTATGCAGTATGGTTATGCCCCATTATAACTGGCATTAGAAGCATGCACCAATTTTCCACTGGAGCTCTGGGACCACTTCAGTGTAGCTAAATACAAACTCATTCAGTATTTCCAAGCTGTTTTACAGCTAGTGTAAAAACGTCACTCACGGGTGGTTCACTTAGAAAACACTATTAAGACATCAACTGCATGAGAAAGAGACACATAGTGTTTGATGTAAAACTTGCCTTTTTTGTTCTGTTTGTTGCCAGCTAGTGACATTCACATGTGTTTTCAACCTTTGCTAGCAGAGATACTTTGCACCCATGACGGCAAAGCCAGGCCCCCTGAACTCCAGTAGTGACTACTGTTCTTTCAAGAACAAGGTGTATAGCGACAAACATCTGTGAAGTTCAGTGTATCTCTTCTAAAAGAGTGTCTATCCTAAGAACAAAGGAAAAAATAGGCAGAACATAATGTTTTACTTTTTTGTATAGCTGCTATTAGCCCAAAGAGCTTTGCAAACTGTAAACATACACAAGAACTTTTTCAACAATACTGTAACATACAACTACTTAATACCACACGAAGATTGCCTAACAGTGTGGGACCTCAGCCTTGATAAAAGTATTTACATTATCATAGTGAATGTTTAAGTTACAATATTACTGAGAGATCCTGAGCAGCACCAGTGGAAGAAACAGCATGCCTGAGAAGGATTAGCAGGCAGACATGGAAGCTGACTCTCTTAAACCTTTCAAAGCCTCCAAAATCCTCTTAAGAGGAGCTTCCTTTTGTGCCAAAACACAAGAAATAAGCTCTTTCTAAGGTGTCCATTCAGCCATATTTGGCCAAAAAAGATAACAGCATGATATTTGGGAATTTTGAGACACGAAGAAATCATCTTCCTGGAAGGTAACCAAGACCATAAAGGCATGAATGTATTGGAAAGAACATTTGGGTAACACAAAGTTGGATTGTCATCTCTTACACAACCCTGTACAGATTCCATCGCTGCACCCACAGGACACTCCCTGTGCTCCAGGAGAGCTTCTGTATAGTCACTGGCTTCTTCTGCGTGGCCTTTTTGGGGTAATTATTCAATGCAATGAATTCCACAGCAAGCATGCAAAGAGACTGAAACATCACTGAGGCTTGCTGAGCATTATGCCAACAGATATCCAGGAGCTGTCTAGCTATGGATGGGACATAGTGTGACTTCTGGGCATACTTCTCTTATTAGAGTGGTAATTTTTTTTTTTTTTTTTTTCTTCCCCAGACAATTGCTCTTTTCTCCCAGCGCATACTCACTGAATATTTTCCCCACACTTGAACGACACACAAAAGCAACACTCGCAGGGTCAAAGCAGCCTTCCTTCCCTTCCCCAGGTCAGTGAGGCCATTTCCCAACTCCAAGTGGGTCACAGGAGTTTCCCTGGGCTCAGAGCTGAGAGGCAAGGCCTTCTTCCATCCTTCATGCTGCTGTTTCTCAGGCGGCCCAGCTCCTGCAGACAAACCACCCTACAGCCGCCATCTTGAGGCACTACCGCAGCCTGTGAGGAAGAGCAGCAGAGCAAGATGGAGGCCCACCTCACCAGCCAGAGGTGTCCCAGAGCAACACCCATCCAATGAGCACCCACGGTGGGACAGCCCAGCTTCCCTCAGCCAATCGGCTTCCAGCACTCAGGCCCTGAGGGCGGGCAGAACGGTCCCCTCAGGCAGTAAGATGGCAGGATGGGGAGGAAGGGGAAGACGAACACCAAGATGATCGGGCCCTTCCCTGCAGGGCAGAAGAGCGGCAGGCACACCCAGCCATCCCCCAGGGTGGAGGCTGAGCTGCCCTCATGGAAGGCAGGAAAGCTCGCCAGCCACCTACGTGTTTCTCGGCAGTGCTAAAAACACTGCCTGCCCTCACAGCTGTCACTTGCTGCCACTTCCCTGAAAAGAGCAGAACGTCTGAAAAACAGAGCCAAAGCCTTTTCTCAGTTTATAAATTTTTATTAGCTGGATAGTGTACACAGTACTTACAATTGCATCTATTAAAGACCAAAATACACTTGAAAAAATGCATCATATAAAAAAAATTATAAACTTTTAACTATATACAAACTTTGCCTTACATTACGCTAATCTCAGTACCCTCCCACACCCATTCACAAAGAAAAGATTTTCTCCCCCCTTTTTCAACATGCAAGGCCTTAAAGCCATTTAGCATCACTTGAAGACCATTTTCCACATCCCATTCTTTACACTCATATAAAACTGGTTTTTGATCGGTTTGTTGCTCCAGTGCTCTCAGGGTCAATTGACAACATTTCTCCTCGAGCCTCTTCTTTAATCCTCATCCACTCTTTCACACACTCCTAAAGTGGAGTTTTTGCTCAAGTGTAGACAATCCACAAAGAATTCTCATTTAATTACTAGAGAAGTTTGAACTTGATGACATCTGCAGTTTAACAAATTTGCCCAGGAAAAATAAGCAGGCTTTTTTGGTAACATGGTGCTGACCGATAACTCCAATCTCACCAAGCAAACACTACTTTTAGAAGTGATACACATAAACCAATGCAAATGAAAAATATGACAATAGCACTCAGGCTTTCACAACACTATTTAAAGTATTAACAATAAGACTTCCTATATAACACAAATCCATAGGTCTTAATACATATTCTACAACAACGGATCAGAGAACCTATATATGAAGGGCTTATTGGGAAAAAGTTCTAGCTGTTCTGAAGAAATTTACAAGTTCTTTAAGAAAAGAAGTAATTACTCATTAAAAAAATACCTATGTCAGAGCAAGAATCTTGCTTCTCTAACTTCCAACTCTCAGAGGGCGTTCTTCAGGACAGAGATTAGCTGTCAGTTGAAGAGCAGAAATGTTATGGAGAGGCTGTCTTACTCCAGCACAGAAATATTCCTCCAGCACATGAACACTCCACTGACAAAATGTACAGATGCTCTAAAAAAAATATTTACAATAATGCTGCAAAGTCAACTAAAGCAAATTTTTTGTTATTCCTTCACTAAAAGAGAGCTACATATTTCCTGAAATGGGTGACCTCCCAAGAAATGCTAGGTGAGGATTTCATAATCACCAACTGAAGAAATTAAGCACCATGCTCTCATTGGCCAAGTATTTTAAGGCAGAAGCAACCAAAGGCACCAAAGATGCCATCAATGCAATGGAGGTAAACAAATGTTTTTTAAATAATTAGAAAAGACAAATCAAAAGAAAGAAGATTTATTTGCACATCAAGAACTAGGCCACCTCCTCCCATAGCTGCAAGCGTCACTGTGTGTAAAAGTTTCTTTCTTACCTTCAGCTCACCGTATCAGCTGTGGTAAGGGTAAGAACATGGAACTAAAAATTCAGAAAAATAAACTGAACTCCATTTAGAAAATCCAGCTGCCTAACTACAAAGGCCAAATCTGCATTTCTTTGTTCTTTCACTGGCTATGTACTACCACACATGGCTTAACTAAATACAGTCATCCTTCGTATCCAGACAGGCATACTCTTCCCCCAAGATTGCCTGCTGGCAATGTAGAATCTAACTTTTCTCCACATTTTTGCTCCCTCCTTTTGCATTCTTTTCCATCTTCTCATACTCTTAGGTCTAGCATTTTTCTCTTTTATCCAAAGTAAATAGAATTTTCAAGGCTCTGTCTTTTTGTATCCTCCCAGTCTTGGACAACTTGCTAATTTGTCCTCCATTTTGCATTTAGTTGTAATCTTTCAGTAAATGGGAAAAATATAGAGGGGAAATAATACGGGTCGTGTTCTTCAAGATGCATTCACATTTTTGTCACTCGATAACAGAGTTGACTGATTTTAAACCAGTCTTGCCCATCCTTGGCTGCTTTCCTCAAAAACATCTCACCCTCTGCAACTTTAGCTATTCAGGTTCATCACCACCTCCCTCAGTGACAATGTCTGGCAGTATTTTTCATCCCACGCTTAACCGTTTTGATGCAGTTTTATGTTTTAACTACAGAACACCAAAATTAGAAGAGATGGGACTACAGCACGCAGGTGATACACAGAGTGTCTACAGAACTCATTCAGGATGGGAGGAGACCAGACATCAAAAGATGCAAGCAATACCTGTTAAAATTAAACTTACTGAACTACAGCTTCCATGACCAAATTTCAAATTAGTAAGAATGGAGCAAGCTTACAGTCAGTAATAAGCTACAGAAGCAGAGATAAAGATATGTTTTGTCGAGATACAAAGCCAGAAGCCAGCTATAGGTCATAAAAAAATCCTTTTTTAAAAATGTAAGTACTCTTCCTTCATTAAGAGCCACTTTTTTATTATTATTATTTAAAGAGGATAGTCTATAAAAAGCCTGAAAGGTTCATCAATATCTGCCTTCAGTTACATCAGGATGAGCTGAGTTGAGTTGCCCTGTGCTTCTGCTGTCATGAAACAATCCCTCACTCTGTGCAGAATGAGAGAATTGTTGAACTGATTTAGAACAGACATCAAGAAACACCATCACAAAGACAGTCAAGTGCTATCACTCTGAGACTGCGGATTTTATGGAAGGACCATGCACCGGACTAGCAGGTTAGAAGGAAGATGCAAAAAAATTCCTTCAGGAGAGTCTCAATTAAAAGTTTTAATCTTTTTTATAACTAGCATTCACTATTCTTCCAAAGCAACAACTACTGGCAATAAACATACCAAAAAACACCCAGAGATTGCTTTTACTAATTAAATCCTTATCCCCGCATCACCATCTCCCATCTTACTTCTTGGAACGGATACACAATATATCAAGTCCTGTGATAATCTTGAAATATTTCTATCATTGTGACTGGATGGCTGAACTTTTCCCAGAGAAGAGCTTGCTGTTTACATATTTCACAAGGTGGAACAGAAAAGTACCCCCCTGCAGTTTCTGCCAGTTACAGAAGTGCAGATGCAACAACAAGGAACCGTTCAGTTGACAATAAAGACCAAAGGTGTAAGAAGTAGATGTAAATAACAAGTCTCTGCTGGGAAAACAAAGTATTGTGGTGTAGCCACATCAGTGCTGGTTGCTATAGACTGGATTATGTCTCTGTACAGAAGGGCTGTAACTCCAAGAGGCCTTTGCCAGCCCTGCTTCAACACACCAGAGTTATTGCTGATCACTGAGTCAGTGGCACACTCTCACCCATGGCCAGTCTTAATGCAAGAGATGTTTAAAAGAAGAAAACAAGGCATGAGCAGTCAGACTCTGAAATCCCTGTGCTGCATCAGAAGATATACCAAGAAAGTCGTTAAGTTTCTATTTGTTGAGTCAACTGCAGTTAAAATCTCAACCACATAGTGAAAACGTGGTGCTTGTTCTGTAGAAAAGGATAGGCTGTGATATGGTGATTGTCCCACTGAAACTCACTTGATACACTGGAAAGGTAGAACAGACTTGCAGAAAGGACAGGAATTCTATTCAGTTATTTTTTTTTTCTTTAAGCAGTGGTTAGGAGACTCTGATCATCTGTGTCATTGCTTCTTCATTGGCCTGAGTTGGATCCTACAGATACAAAATACATACCATGTTGTAACTTCAACATTTTTTCCATCACAGCAGAGAGAATCACACACAGCTATCAAGAGAAGATACTCCTGCTCCATCCCTTGATCTCTAAACATGTCATATTTTTCCTGGGTTTTACTGGCCAGTGTAAAAGAATGGGATAATATAAAACTTAACAGTCCCTAGTAATGTGTTGTTTCTGGTAATAGGGAAGACCCTAGTACTGCTCTACTATGTGGGAAGGATTCTACTTCAGAATGAGAAATATTCTTCTTCTAAAGCCACAGGTCTGCTTTAAAGCACTAATCAACAACAGAATTTGCTAATTCAACTCTACTTTGTCCCCTCCTCTGAAAACTCATCTTGTACTACTTTTGTAAATCAGTATGCAGGTAAGAATCAGATATTCACATTTTTAAATTTTCCATCAGATATAAAGTGTCTCTACCTTGAATTCACATCTTAAAAAAAATACTTCTGGTATGCAACCAAAAAGGCTGCAAAGACTGTATTCCTTAGGACAAATAAATACATGCATTCTCTGTTTGTAAAACAAAGTGAACACATTTCTGTCAATATTACCATAATTTCATTATTCAAGGCAAACAGACACTTTCTGTCTACAAAAAGTGAGACAAGTTTCTTTACAATGCCTGAAACAAATTCAAAGACAGAGAAGGACAAAGATCAGCTGCCTAGCCCAAAACCAGTACAAACAAAACAGTACAGACACCTCTAAAGTGTATTCCGAGGAACTGAAAGTGACAGTTGCCCAAAGAACAGACAAAATTCTCCTTACCTGCATATGAGGGCTGTCTTTTTCCTTTGGTGAAAAGAAACGTCCACCTTCTCCCCGCTTCCTGGCCATAGCATGACGATGCCGAGATTCATGCAAGTATTTCTGCAACAATATGAAGGATGTAATGAGACCCCAGGACTACTACCAAGGGACTTAAAAAATAATAAAAAAAAAAAAAAATTGAAGAACACTAAGATTCTTGTCCTCATTTTCCAGCACAGGTGGTTTTCTGCGCGCTTTTCTCAAAAAGCTACCCTGTATTAGATCCGAGTTATATTCTTACCCTTCTTTCTTTGGGAATTTTTCCCTCTGCTTCAAGCTTAGCACGTGCCTGCCTCCTCTTAAGGATCCGGTGATACTGCTTGGCATTTACATAGAGGGGCTCTTCTTCCAGCATTTCTGCTCCAGGCAAAGGTATTCTCTGAATAGCTGGTACGGATCCAGCTCCAGGTACCATCTGTACAGAGAATATGTTTTTAGTACTTGTAGCTCAGAACATAAAGTGAATACAAAAAAAGTAATTAAAAAAAAAAAGTTAAAATCAAAAGTGCTTAGTTTTTGTTCAGATAATGCACCTACTTGAATGAAAAAGGAGTAATAAAGTTGTTCTCAAACTGCAGAACAAATTTAAAGAAATCAATTACTTATCAGTTGTGCTTTTTTTCTGATAACGGTAAAATTTCAATACAATATACAATTCTATGACCACGTTACTGCTTCTTGTATAATTAAGCATACAGGACATAACCCAAAAGAAAGAGAAGCAATGGGCATCACTTATTTAATTTATATGATAATTTCAGAGCATTTCTTCAGCATATATTACTTGTAGAGCTGCTGACATCTAGTGGGTGTGAACAGTAAAATTCATGTTAAAAGGCCTCACAATACAAAGAAATAAGATTTGGCAGAAAGAGAAATAGATACTAAGGGATCCTCAAGAAAAGCAATGGTCTACTCAATCTTTTTAAACCTCTGCTTATCAGTTAACAGCTTATTTTGAATTTCAGTTTCTAGATTTTTTAGCTGAATAATGTGATGTGAAAGAAAAAGTACAGAATACATAGATCACAATAGGACACAGTCCATTAAAACTGGAAACTTGTGTTGTTTAAACTACGTGTAGCTACTGAGAAGACTGGCCATATTAAGTTGATAAGAATCTCAGACAACAGTTTGTGGAGAGACATCTTAAACCTCAACCTTTAAAAATATCAGTGGAAAGTGAAATACATACCATAACCATTCCCCCTGAATTGACAACATTTCCAGCAACTGGCAGCGTCACTGTGACAGTCCCTTGTCCACTACTGGTTGTGTTGGTGTTGGCTCCTGTTTGGACAATCTGTGCTCCAGCCAAACTGGCTGCTGGAATGGTGATCATGCCTGTAACAGGGACTGTAACTTTAAGAAAATAAAACACAAAAGAAAAACAAACAAACAAACGAACAAAAACCAAAAACATGCACACAAAAAGAAGGGAACACCATTAGTCCCACTTCTGTTTTTCACTCATTCATCCTTCCATAACATGCAAAAAGATTCAGAAAAGCATTGCAAATTATTAACTAATGCCATCACCTGGTTCCCAGATTTCCTATTTTTTGCATTTGTATCTGCACAGTAATCCCAGTGTCAGATAAGAGATCGTGTACTCTAGGATGCAAAAGCAAACTTAAGAGTTTCTATTCTAACAGTCCTTGCCAAAGAAAAGAGCCATTTTTTATTTTTCTGGGAAAAGAACCGCGGACTGAATTCCTATATAACATAAATAGTTCTTCCATTCACTATGCCAATAATTCCTATCACAGCACTCACGGCACTACTAGCACTGTAGCTCAATGCTTCCTTTGACAATAATTACAAGGCAATAAAAACCTTTCCAAAAAATATCAAGAAGTCCTGACTCTTCACACCAAAGCTCATACCTTGTTGGAGAATGGTTCCATCAGCATTAACTGGCTGATAGACTATGGTCTGGCCTTCAGCTGCTTGTGCTACCTGTTGTCCTTGAACTGCTATTTGTTGCTGGGTCTAAACAAAACAAGAACACGGTAACTTTACAAATGGCTTATTTTTCAAATTTTACAATTCTTGAATTAACACATGGTGCTTAAGGTGTCTCAGGCATCTATTTCTTTTGCTTTATTACCAGCATCAAGAAATAGGATGGAGTACAAACCAACTGAACTGTAGATAAAATACCTAAAGCACATAAACCATCCTTTTTCTAACAGTGTAGTATTTAATACTGAAAGAAACAAGTTTTAGGTTTCCTGTCTCAATATGAATATGCTAAAGGAAGAACTATTCTTCTCAGAAATTTAGTTTTGTTTCTAAACAAAAGAATCAGCAGAAAACCCAGGTATGACTAGACTACTTCACAAAATGGCGCAAGTATGAAACTAGCAATACTTCACATTTTCAAATTTCAACAAATACACAAAAACAACCATGAACCAATAAAATACAGAAACACAATGGATAAAAACATGCAATCTATTTATTCTGCCCCAGAGTTATGTATGAAAACACTACAAAAATATGAAATTTATTCTCAAGTTCTCCTCAATATTTACAATGCCTCATTTTTTTTTTTTTTCTTTTTTTTTCCCCTTTTTTACTTAACCACACCTTAAGTCATTTGTCAAGTTTCTCTTCCTATTTCTCTCAAAAAAACCCTTTCATGCTGGTGCAGTTACCTGTGTCTGGCCAGCAGTAACTGCAGTCTGTGGCTGCTGTATAATGATCTGCTGGGTCTGGCCCTGCTGCCCCTGTACCTGCACAGCCTGCCCACCTTGAATCTGAATCTGACCTGGCTGGACCAACTGAATCTGTGGAAGAAAGAGTCAGAAAGGAACATTAACTATGCCTCTTATTTCTCCCTCCTTGGCCTCAGCATTACCAAATCATCTCTGAGGATGATTTACTGTTGCAAAGATAAAGAAAGCACTGATTCTTCTCTTTTTCCATTTTAAAATTAAGAGTTTTAATTTATTCCTCCCTGTGACACAGCAGTCACAACCATACAGAATAGAGGAAACATAACATGCTAGTGTCATTATGCCCTAGCAGTTCTCCACTGCTTACACAATAGAATGGTCAAAAGAAATATATTATTCATGTGAAACTAGGACTAATAATAATCAGGTGAAAGAAAAAAAAAAAAAAAAAAAAAGAGAGGGGCTACGATATCTGTAGAGTGTTAATTATCCAGAATACAGAAGTACTCCTGGGCGTATATAAAAGTTGTCTTCTGCTTTGCAGAGAAGTCTTTCCACCAATACAGAACACAGATTAAAAAAGAACAACTGGAATAAGGTTTGAAGCTTGTACTTAAAAACCCAGTTAAGGATTTTTCCTCCAGCAACCAGACTGTAAAGAACCTAACACAAAATATATTGTCTTTCAAAAAACAAACAAAAAAAATATATAAACACTAAATAAACTCTCAGAACACCAAGACATCATGTGCCTTCCTGGACTGTGCTGAACTTGATTCCTAAATCCCGTTCTCAGATCACTAGAGCACTTTCATTATGCCACTGTTACAGTTCTTCCCTTTGCTTTCGAGGAACACACTTCGAGCACCTGTTTAAATTTAAAAACTGTCTTTTAGACAAATATTTCAAATAATTGCTTCTAATTAAATCCATCTTCCATACCTTCTACAGTATTACCTTCTGTGCAACATAAATGTTTAAATTCACCTTCGGCCATCATGTATTAGATGAACGCAGCACAAAAGTTATTTTCAATAAGCCTTCTTAAATAAACATTTTAAAAAATCCTCTTTCTGAGCCATAAATTGAGTAAGCACCAGATCACCAGTTATACTGCAAGGGCCAGTTAAAGTAAAAATTAAAAAAACACAACAAACAAAACACCCCAAAACCCCAAACCAACTCCAGCTGCATTTTAAGGGACTTCATTTAAAAGGTTTACACATCCCCATAAAATACAAAAATCAAATGCACAAAGAATTTTCATTGCATTCTTAGCACGCAGCTTACTGCCAGATCCATAGCTGGAGAACAACCGTCTTTACCCAGTTTATTTTAAGAGTGCTGAGGCAAATGTACTGTCTGACAAAGCGAGAACATCACAGTTCATTCTCTGTAACTTATGTTAAATAAAATTAGGGTTATCTCACCTGCTGCAGTCCCTGTGTTCCAGAAACCGGGACTTGCATGATTGTCTGGCCCTGACCGCCGGGCACAGCCTGCACCATGATCGGCTGGCCGGTTGATGTGATCAGCTGACCTCCGCTTACTTGTACCATTAGTGGTTGACCCTGGACCTAGGAAACAGGAGAAAAAAACAAACAGAACAATGAAAAAATCTGGTGACTTAAAGCCAAAAACTGAAGTGGCTACCACATGAGGCTAAATGCTTACCTATTTTAATGCGGTGACCAGAGAAACTGAGCAACAGTTACTAACCTGGGTTCATAATCAGCATGAAGTATCTTTAATTTCTAAAACTTTTTCCATGATGCGCTACTGGATTTAGTAAAGTATCTTTTTCTGTTGCAGTCTAACCAAAATTTCCAAGTGTAATTGCAATAAAGCATGAAAAGCATGGCTAAATTTTCCAGACACAGTAACTACCTTCATGCACAGGCCAAGAGCAAAGTGTAATAAAAGAAACTTTGTTATCCACATCACTATTACTAATCTTTAATTGGGGTTCCTAATTAGAAAGCTCTAAATAAGCTGTTCTGACAGAGATTCTGAGCTAGCTTCAACTCTCTCCAACTACATGCTTACATTTCCAACTACATGCTTCCATTTCCATTTCCTAACTGATATATAGCATATGAAGTTCTTTGAGAACCTTTTCATGGTTAAGTGAAATTATAAATGTACACAAAATGCAGTTCAGTAAGGAAGAGTGAAAGAAAATCATCATCAGCCACTTCTTGGCCCAACAAGGCTTACAGAAGATTTATAAATTTGGCATAAGAGTCTCTGGACTCTTGGACCAGGTGTGTCTCTGGTCACTAGGAAAAAAAAGCCAATGAAAATAAAAGCAAGGGGAAAACCTCTCTGTTTATAAACACCCTCACCCACTAGTTCCCCAAAATATATCTTTGAAAATAGCACACCTCCATGGCTTAAGTGTGAAATGAGTCTTATGAACTAGGTAATCATTCCTTACCACACTCTGAGTTGTTTAGAAACCAGAGCAACACAACATGATGAAAAGTCACTGAGTTCTTGGGTTTTCTGCTTGCAAATTTCAAGATCATGCAATAGCAAACGCTCACTCTTCAACCACTGTAAAATACCAGGCTAAACATCAGTACTGATTTTCAGCACATACTGAACCACCTAAAAAAGTTTCACTTTGCATAGTTCAAATACCTTAGTGAACGATGTGCTAACACATCCATGGAAACAACCACAGTGATCAATGCCCTACATAGAATACAGTGACTTTACAGGTCACCTAATACCCTTGCAACACTGTTCTGTTCCTCAACCTCATAACTATAGCATACAAGTCCCTACCAAAAATCTGTACTATTTATTTTGAATTACAACAGAGAGATAAGCATGCTCGTATCAGCCACAAAGAAGCACAGTTAGCAGTACAACATCCAGTAAGCATAAAGAAAAACGATACATTCCAAGATTCTTGTTAATGTATTAAGAGCAAGCCAAAGAAAAAAAAAGAGGGGGGTACATAAAGAAGACCAGGAGGCCACAGTGACCCAAGCAATTCAGTCAGCCAGCTTTTCATATTTGAACTCTGAACATAAATGCTGTGTTCAACTTTACACCTGGCAAGACCATTCTAGCCTCGTAGAACTCTCCTCTGAAGAATTAAAAAACAAACAAAACCAAAATACCAAGTGAAAAATGCACTACTAAACTGCTACAGCCATCCAGGGTTTATCAATTCCTTTAAAAGCCGCCTACATAAGCTAGTGAAATGAAGTCTGCAAAAACAGAAAATACTTCACATTGAAACAAACCGAGTTTTGAAATAACATTGCATTTCTTTCCAATTTGTGATACATTTACTGTTAGGATACATAACTTCTGCTGGATTTCCTGGATTGCTGTTGTTCACACATAAGTAAAACAACAGATCTCTCAATCCCACATAGGCCATTCTTGTCCTCATGTGCCCTTTTTAATCCCAGATGAAAAGTTTCACTCACAGGTCATCCACCCGCTTTGTCTTTCTTTTGTGTAGTGAAGACACAGAACTACTCAAAGTGGATACCAGAAATCTAATTTCCTTGGAACTACAGGAAATCTTTGGGTTGTATCTCTTGACTGTTACTTCCTCATCTTGGTGGTTTTTCCTTTCAAGTCCCATTTCAACAACTATTCACTTTCAGAATTACAGCAGCAGGAACTCATGAATGTATCAGGGTTCTGGCATGCACCTGAGATCCAATGAAATGCTATAATCCCATGCTCTTCGTGGAAAACCCTACAGCTAGCATAAAGCACAGATACTACTAACACATTTTCCTGTTCCTATTTCAAACCCTGGAAAAAACACAGCATTAGATATGTGGCGATGGTGAGAGTCATGCAGTGCTCACAAACACAATTAGAGAGATCACCACTACCTGGAGGGTCTGGACTTGCTGGCCTGAGGCGGATGCCACCTGGGCCTCAGTCTGCAACTGGACAGCAGTGACACCACCCTGCTGCTGGGAATAGGAACAGGAATAGCTTGAAACATGGAAATGCACAGCTCTGACAAGAGACGACACTCTGCTAGAAGAGGGTGAATTTAAAATTCATACACACTGCTCTTGGAACATAAGGAATGGGAATATGTTTAGCAAACCTAACAACGGAATACCAACAAAACTGCATATGATACTGACAGGCTTCAATATCCAAACCAAAAATCACTTACAAAGAACATGAGAGATTATTTTGCAGAATTTAAAATCTCAGCTTCATTGTTTTAGACTGCTACCTTTCTGCTTAATGTTTCCTTTCACTGCCCAGGTTTCTTCCTGCGAAGGGGTTCCAGATTTTTCTCAGTCTTGTTAGTTACAATAAAGGCCGTAAATCCTTTCTGCACAGAACATCAGCACAGGTGTCTACAGTCTAAGCTTCATCTGTGTCACCCCTGCATCAACGTCTTCCCACCACTGACCTTGAATGACAAATCTTGAGAGGTTGCAAGAGCAGTTAAATCTACAAGCCTTTTCTATCTTTAGCCTCTTTAGTAAGAGTCCCAAAATAATCTGCATTAACTGTGTTAGCATTTTGGAAGATGAAAGATATCTCTCTACTAAAAGCTGTACTACAACAGGCCTATTAAAAAAAAAAAGAAAAATATTTTATGTCAAATACAACACAGGCTTTAAGAGCATGTAGTAAAAAATTATACAAGCCAAGCTATGGTTTAACCTCTTTTTCTACCTACAAAGTGTCAATAAAACCAAATAAATTTTTGAGTACCTGTTGAAAGCAGGTATTTTTGATAGTTCTTAATATGCAATTTTTAATCTCAAATATAATCTTGTTCTTATTGAAAAAGTCAGTTTCAGCTAAATTCAACGGAAGAAGCTGGTCCCCACCATCAAACACCCAAACAGGCTGATGACAAAGCAAAGAGTATCTCACTGAAAACATAATCCAGTGGCTCACTCATTTACATGACAAACTAAAAAACTCCTCTTGCCTTGAACCAGAACAAACATAAGATGCAACAAAAAATCAGCAGCAGCAAAACTCATCTGTAAATGCATTACTGTATCCAAGTGGGTGAAGCCTAACAACAGCAAAAATCTATAAAACCTTAAAAAACACCAACCCTCCTCATTTGCACATGATAATATGAACTAGAAACTTCTTTCTAGAATGGATTCATTCATCCAAAGCTACACATTTATTCCAATTCCTGTACTGTGTGCTCATTTTGATCCACCTGCAATTCTAAAAAGGTAGCTCAATAAGTATTTCTTTTGAGAAAGCTGGAGGAGTCATCTATGGGCTTGATCAAAGCCTATTTCAATTTTGGGGAAAATCTACATTGTTCCTTGTAGATAACTGACTGAATCAATATTCCGTTTCCTCCAATTTCAGAGAGGATTTGTTACTTTCCTCATGTCACCACCAGTTTGCAAACTCCCTAATACACTAAAATTTGGTGAGTTGTATACATGTAATTTTATTAATTTAATTTTATAACAAATATTAAATAAAATAAATGTATTTACTCTGACTTCAAGTCACTGACCAGGTGACAAAAGTCAGGTAAGCACATATCCAGACAGTATCATGAAGCATCTTGCTGGTTCTGTGAAACTCTGAAAAGTACAAACAGATTTGTAACTTGGCACTGGCACTGCCAGCTCACCCGTTATCACTTTCCATACCTGCTGCTGAATCTGTCCAGCCTGCACAACGATCTGCTCTGTGGAACTGTTACTATTTGCTGCATACTGCTCCATAGTGCTTCAGTTCCAATATGGTCAAAGGCACACCTCAGTCCTCCGTGTATCTGACAAGTTAAAAAAGCACGTGATTATTGTCCCAACATTTGAAGATTAGTATTACATTACAATAGCTGAAAAGCAAACCATCTGCTGACATTGAGGTCAGAATCAGACAGTAAGAGCTTCTGTTTAATCAAGGACCTACCTCTTTCAAAATGTCACCTTACTTTCATTGAGTAACAAAGCTAGAATTGTAATTTCAAGAACATCTAACTTGACTGAGAAGCAGGAAGTATCTTAACCTTAATTCTATCATTATCTTCAGTGAATCACAATAGTAGCTATGAACCTATTTATCTTCGTTTTACCCCTCAAAGTCTGTGTACTCTGGGCTACGGACAGGTGCCTACACTACATATTGGTGGAGGAGAGGGGAGTTATCACTAAAGAAACTCACAAAATACAAAGTTTAGGTGTGTGATAAATAATAGAAGAATTTTGCTTTCGCTAAAAGTAATTAAACAATTATTTCTTAGGCTAAAGCTATTATTAGTACAATGATCCAAATTTTAAGAAAAGTAAAAGACTTTACTACTGGGAAAAGGGGGGAATTGATCTGAGGAAACACCAACCCAACAGCCCCCCCTCCTTGGGATGCTCACCAGATGATCCATAAAGGGTGGTAACTCTTTTGCAATGGAATGAGAAAGAACAGAATGGGCCATCCCTGGTATCCCTTGTCCTTGAGATAAGAGAGGAACTGAAACCACTGAGCCAGAAAGACAAAGGAGCTGCAAATTGGCCCAGACTTGAAGGACAAGGTGTACTGTGACCACAAGACTGAAGAAAGAAGAAGATAAGATTGTAGAAGAAGCCAGGAGGTGTGCTGAAGGTGTTGAAACTGGCAGCTGTGTGGAGAAAAGGGGGTTTGAAACTTAAACAATTTGGTGTGCCTGGATGGAGCTGCCACTCCTCGGCCACCCCAGCGCTGCATGTGCTCTCTTACCTTAATAAAGATTCATTAATCCATATTTGGATGTGATTTGCCTTAATCTACCTATAACAGGTGTAAAACCAAGCTCCAAGAATTCAACAAAGCTAAGTGAAACTGTCTCTCCTTTCCCAACTATGCAGCACGCCTTCCTCATATCTCTTTCTTCTCTTCCCACTTTTATATATTTTGAAAATAGCCAGCAGATTTCTCGCTGTTTCCATCCTTTTACTGCCTCTCATTTCTTGGACCCTTGCCTATACATATGAAGAACACACTGTTGAAATAAAATACTTAGTTCCATTACCTCCTTCTCCCTCATATTTCTTCTCAGTTGATCAACAAGGGAAGAATTCTTACTATTACTTTTAACGAGGTATTTGATTTATGCTATGACTGAACAAGTACCTGCTACATTAATGAAAAAGCAGCCTGTAACTTTAATCTTCGAAGTCTAAAGCAACAAAACCCCAGGCTCCTTCAGTTTTCAAAGAAATACACACAAAATGTATTCCCAACTTTAACTGTAAGAGTTGCTGTGGTTACTACTGTAATGACACCTCTCACACTCCATGCTCTTCAAAACATCCTTTGTACTTCAGTGTCTTCCATTTATCTTAAGAACACGTCATTTTTTCATCAACTTACTCCTCACCATGGCCTAAGAAAGGCCACAATGATTTTACACTTTGTTGTTTTCTTGCTTCGGTTAACACCAAATGTCGCTTACCCACAAAAATAAATGATTAACCAGCATGGATCATGACAGACCAGAAGCATGTTCATTACAGGGGGCACAATACTCAGCCATAACAATGTAAGAACCTTCGCAGTCCCTACCAAATATTTTGTTCAGAATAACAATGTAACGTTGCTAACCCTGGAGATCACAAAGATAATCTGTGTCACAGCACTGAAAGGCACTACATTTTAATGCAATTTTAACTCTATCCTTGGCCCATTTGGTAACAGTTTTTCATAGCCTGCCAGAATAAAAGATAAATATTCTTTCTGAAGATGATACCATCTACTAAGGTTATTAGTTCAATTTTGCACTCCATACTTAATTTCTGCCCTAATCCCTGTGGGCCTGTCAGAAAACAGTTCCCACATTTCATTCTTCAGAGAAGTATTTCAATAGCAAGCACAGGGTGCCAGTAAATCGTATTTGCCAAAAGTTCTCTGGCTTCCTTAATGGCACAATAAATAATCAAGCACATGCGTACTTCTACTTGGAAATGCTTCTTCACAGACGCCAGTATCAAGTCCCTGTCTTGTTTACATAAAATATTAGCAGCATTGTAATCCTCACTCTCTGCACCAGCTATGGCTAGCCAAAGTTACAAACAGAAGACCTGACATGTGCTTGATTATAGTTCTTCAAGGGATTACCTAATTTCCTTCATTAAAACACACACCACTGGCTTTACTGTATCAAAGTTAAATTTTAAAGACTGGTGATCTACTTCAATGGCATGCTCCTCCCACAGCTGATCTCACTAGTGAGCTCCCCCTCACCAGCTCCCTGTCTGCACTGAAAATGACTTAGTGTTCTAGTTTTATTAGCATATATTCATATATATGTATACAGACACATATATAGGAAGCTATAGAAGCTACACCAACAGCTCCCTCGGAAAATAAGCTACACCACCAAGAACAAACCAGCATCATAAACTGTGCTAGTACTTGAGCTAGCTTGAAAGCATTATTTTAAAACACGCTGCACCCTGAAACAACATTACTAAATTGGGTGAAGTTTCTAGGGCAGACCCTGTCAGTCTCTGCAGATAACCGTTGTCCTCCAAGGACACCAGGGGAGGACAGACACCCACGCAAGGCCAAAGATGGGATTTAACTAAACAACAGCACAGCCAGGTCACAATCTTATTTCCCACTGTTGGGCAGAATAAAACGCGTGGTACCCAGATTTTGTTTCCTTCTTATCAAACTTGCAAGTCAAGGAGTTCACCCAGGGACCTTCTCATTTTACTGCAGAAAGCCTCTGACCTGGGGGTTTTCTCGGCGGGCAGAGCTCGCCGCGCCGTGCTCGGGCGGGTGAGGCAGTGCCCCGGAACCCACGGCGGAGGAAGCGGGGCAGCACCGGGGCCCCTCGCTCCCGCAAAAGGGGCGGTCGGTCCCCGCAGAGGGAGCACACGGCTGGCGACATTTGGCCTCCAGGTGCGTTTACGGGGGGAGGCGGGAAGGGGAGCGTCTACACCCACTTCTCCGGCACGCCGGCAGCCCCGGGGAAGAGGGAAAGGGGGTGGGGTGGGGGAGCGACCTGCCCTTGGCGCAAACTCGGCGGCTTTCTCCCCCCCCCCCCCCACCCCCGCCACCTCCCCCGGGCAAGGCGGGGAGGAGGAGGAAGGCGGGGGTGGGGAGGAGGAGGGGCAGCCCGGGCTGCCCGCGGCCCATCTGTCAGCAGGGGCGGCGGGGAGGCTCGCCCGCTCCCCCCCGCTCGAAGGCGGGGCCCTGCTGCTCCCGTCCCAGCGGCCCCTCACCGCCGAGGCCTGTCCCCGCCACGGGAGGCCAACCCCGCCGCGCACTCCCCCCAGCTGCCGCCTCCTCCTCCTCCTCCTCTTCCTCCTCCGCCGGCCCCACGCCCGCACCTCCCGGTACGCTCCGCCCGCCCCCCACCCCAAGCCCTCTCCTCCCGGGGCCCGGCGGCCCCAGCCCCGCTGCGCCCCCGGAGGAGCCGGCCGCCGTCCCCTCGCCTCCCCCAGCGCCCGGCCGGCCCCGGCCCTGCGAGCGGCCTCCTGACTGGTCACTCGGCCCCGCCAATCCCGGCGCTGGGGCCGGCGCTCGGGGGCTCCATATTGGCTGCTCGCACTCACCGTGCCTCGCTCCCCCGGTTCGGGTCCCGCGCTGATTGGCTCCGCCACCGGCCCCCGAAACCCAATCAGCGCCTGCACTCAACCGCCGCGCAAAATGGCGCCCAACCCCGAACAAAGGCGAAAGGGGGGCGGGGCGGGGTGGGGGCGGCGCAGGCGCACAGCGGCGCCCGCCCCGCCTCCTGCCTCGGCGCGGCCCTCCACGCCGGGCCCCGCCCATCCGCCGCTACTGCGCCTGCGCTCCAGCTGCTGCACGGGCCTCCACTGCCCGCAAGACGCAAGCGCGAGGCTGCGCGAGGCTCCGCAAGGCTCGGCTCCACCCACCCCCCCACTCCACCACTTCCCCTCTCGACGTCTTACCCTAGGCTCCGCCTCCGAGCGCTTCGCGCATGCGCCGTGGCGGCGGGAGGTTGGCCGCCGGAATGTTCTCGGCGGGTATCATAGAGTGGGCGTTCCTCCCGCCTGCCTAGAGAGGCCAGTGAGCGAGCAGCGGCGGCCATGTTCCTGTGGCGATAAAGCCGCCGTGGTGGAGGAGGAGGAGAGCGGGGTTGACAGATGTGGGGAGCGCTGGGGAGGGTTTTCGTGGCGCAAGCCTTGGCTCGGCGGCTCCTTCTCCGTACCGTGCCCGCGGGTGTGGCCTGCTGAAGGGTTTCCTGAAGGGGCAGGGTTGATTTGGCCTGTGGGTACCAGTTGCGTGGTGACCTAGGACTGGGGCCTCGGTGCACCTCATGGGCTGGAGCTGTGGGGCTGTAGTGGGAAAGCTTGCGCTGTGCTGTTCAGGGGTACTGGCCTCCCCCTTTTCCATTTCTCAAGGGGTGTCTTGATTGTCCCAGCTGTCCCACAGATAAAGCCAATTTATCCTTGCACATTCTGGCATACCAGCTTATTGCATAGTTGGGGGTTCCTAATAACTGTTTTTCTCTCTGTCATCTTTCCAGCCACAGGAGCTCACGTTACCATGGCCACCCACTTCTCCAAGGATCATGTAAGAAACTATGAACTAAGGGTATTGTTTATTGAAATTTATGTTAAGCTCAATGTAAAGGTTAGGCGGCAAAAGACAAAAAAAAACTGCTTATGCAAATAGCTGCCAGACACCACTTGTGTGAGACAAGATAACCTGTGAGACAAGATGACTGCGTGAGATAAGATAACCGCAATTGCTTACACAAACCAGATACTTGTGCAAGCAGAAGGGGGTACTGATCAAAGACAACCACGAATGTAAAAATGTATAAAAAGGAACTGTTTGAACTGATCAGTACGGCAGTTGGCGGAGCGCAGACTCCCCTGTCGTCCAGCGCTGTCTTTGCTCATATTCTACTTGCTATAATTAATAAAATTATAATTGGATTATGATCCATTGTGGTCTCAATTTATAACAATTTCATGGTGCCGTGACTCGGATAAGGAACGGTGGGCTTCTGTCCTCCGGGGAGGCGCCCCGCGGCAGTCCGCGGCCCCGCGACTGATAGCCCACCCCATCCTTACCGACGAACCTAAATTCTAGAATAATGAGCAAAGGAGAAACCGGTAAAATCCCATAAAAATTCTGTGCACGGGAGTCCGGACGAAGACGCAGGATGCGTAAGTATATTGCGAATTTGTTCGCGGGTTTACCGTTCGGGCGGGATTGGGTTTCCTGGATTATAACGAATGAGAGGTTCGATATACTGAACCAAGCGAGTGCGGACCCTTAAGTACTGCGTTTCCCATTTCCCGCGAGGGACTGGGCCAGGAACAAGGGGAGCAAGTGAGTGTGTGTTTGTGGATAATCCAGAAGATGGGGGCGAAGGGCAGCAAGCCTTCGACTCCCATGGGAAGGGTACCCACTGTACCTAAGAATACCCCTCTGGCATATATCTTAGACAATTGGAGATATTTCCCTGGAACACTAGGGAAAGATAAGCAGAAAATGATAGAATATTGTACTAAGATATGGGGAGGGAAGAAGATTTCTAAAAATGTCTTTTGGCCAGTCTGCGGGTCAGAAGAAGATATGATAAATGCAACAATTAAATCTCTGGGTTAATAATAAAAAACCCCTTAACCCGGAAGAAAGTCAGTATGCGGGAGTGTGGCTAAAAAGACTGGGAGCTAGACTTTACCCGCTGAATGAAATAAACTAAACAAAAGAAAAAGAAGGAAGGGTTAGACAAAACCCTTCTAACCCCCCCTCCTTACATTTCCCCTCCTGCTCCCACAGCCCCTCCAGAGGTCCCCAGAGCGCCCACTCCCCCACCGGAGTCGGAACAAGAGTCTCCCCCTCCTCCTAGACGTGTAACTAGAAGCTAAAAAGGGGCAGCTCAGATGTACCCCCTAAGGGAAATACCCATGGGGGGACCTCAACCCGTGATCGGATATATTTCCGTACCCCTAAACTCGGCTGACCTATGAGATTTTAAAAGAACCGAGATGGGAAACTTAATTGAGGACCCACTCGGAGTGGCAGAAAGATTAAATCAATTTTTTGGACCAAACCTTTATACTTGGGATGAGATGCAATCTATCCTTGGTCAATTATTTACTACCGAGGAAAGAGATATGATTAGACGAGCAGGAATGAGACTGTGGGATGCTCAACATGCCCAGGGACCTCAAGCGGATATTAAATGGCCACTCCAAAGACCTAATAGGGATAATCAGGATCCGGTGCATAGAACTCATATGCAGGACCTGAGAACTATAGTAATTCAGGGAATTAGAGAAGCAGTACCCTGTGGCCAGAATATTAATAAAGCATTTAATGAAATGCAAAAGAAAGATGAGAGCCCTACTGAGTGGCTGAAACGACTGAGGAAAGCCCTTCAGCTGTATTCTGGGGTAAATCCAGACGACCCTTTAGGGCAAGCACTCCTCAAAACTCAGTTTGTGGCAAAATCATGGGAAGATATCAGAAAGTCTATGTAAGGCGAGAGGAAGAGAGCAGCAAGTGACAAGTAAAAATGATGGTAGCAGCGGTCAGAGAGGACCGTAAAGGACGAACTGGTGAACACAGATCTGCTGGAACGAAACAAGGGAACGTAGTAGTAAAGAAGGAACAGAGATGTTGTTTTTACTGTGGAAAGAAGGGACATATAAAGAAGAATTGAAGAGAAAGGATCAGGGATGAGGAAATATTGAAAACGGAATAGGAGAGTCAGGGGCTCTATATCTTAGGGGACCGGAGTCATCATGAGCCCTTGATAAAATTAAAAATAGGTCCCCATAAACAAGAGTTCACCTTTTTAGTAGACACTGGGGCTGAAAAATCGACTATTAAACAAATACCTGAGGGATGTAAAATTTCCTCGGAAAAAAGTACAAGTAATTGGGGCAAAAGGAGAACCATTTAAAGTAAACAAAATCAAAAATGTGGTATTCGAAACTGAAAATAAATTTGGAATGGGTGAACTCTTGCTCGTCCCTGAAGCAGAATTTAATCTGCTAGGACGAGATTTAATTGTTGAATTACAATTAGAAATTAAAGTGAAAAATCAAGAGCTAACAGTGTCTACTTATCCTTTGACCGTGGATGAGCAAAAACAAATTAACCCCGATGTCTGGAACTCTCCGGACACAATTAGTAGACTGGAAATCCCACCGATTAAAATCCAAGTTTCTGAACCCCACATACCTGTGAGGGTAAAGCAATATCCCATTTCCTTAGACGGACGGAGAGGATTAAAACCAGAAATTGATCGATTATTAGCACAAGGAATCTTAGAGCCTTGTATGTCACCCTTTAACACCCCCATTCTGCCTGTAAAGAAACCAAATGGGAAATATCGGCTCGTACATGATTTAAGGGAAATCGTTTAAGGGAGCACGGGGCGGCTAGGGTTAATCCCTTGCGGGGAAGTCCCAGCGGCAGGAATTCAAGGGGGGATGGGATTTGTGGATGTGCCGCTCACTAATGTAGAAGTGAGGGCGTATAAGAATGAATTTAGGAGGTTATTAGAGGACCCTGTGGGGCTGTCAGAGAAGACTGATCAATTTTTGGGACCCAGTATATATATACATGGGAGAAGATGCAGTCGATTACGGGAATTTTTTTCTCTCCTGAAGAAAGACAGATGATCAGAACGGTTGGAATGTGGATATGGGAGAGAGAAAATCCGCAGGGGATACCCGGGGAAAGGAAACTCCCTGTAACCCCTCTGCAGTGGAATCAGAATGAACAAGAGCGGAGGAGAGATATGAGTGACTCTAGGTCATTATAATAAGAGTCTGGAGGAACTCCTGAGAGAAGCACAGAAAGTAGATATTAGGAAGGATGAAGAAGAGGCTAAAACTAAAGCTAAAACTATGATAACTGCACAAGAAGCTGTTAGAAACAAACACAAGGAATCTCAGACGGGAAATCACAAATTTGAAACAGGCAAGGGAATGAAAGGGGAGGCGGAACCAAGAGGCACCACTGGCTAGGGAAATCACAAGGGAATGTTTTCATTGTGGGAAGGGGGGGCATTATAAACAAGAATGCCCCCAGAGAATACGGGACCTGTTGGTGTTTGAAGTAACCCAACAGGATGAGGGTGGTAATCACTAGGGGTGTCAGGGACTCTACCTCCTGGGGGATATACCAACAGAAGAGCCCTTGATAAATTTGAAATTAAGACCCCAGGAGGAAGATTATGTAAAAGATACAACTTGGGCTGTAGGGGCTAAAGGTGAAGGGGTTTTTGGTCCCAGTTATAAAGAATGTGTTAATACAAGGGGAAGATCAATATGCTGTTAATGATTTGTTGTTAATGCCAGGGGTAGGATGTAATTTGCTAGGTAGAGATTTACAAGTGCAATTAGGAATAGGTGTGGTGCTGGGTGAAGGAAAACTAGTGGTTAAATTACTAGAATTATGGGAGGAGAATCAGGGAGGATATTTAGGAACCAGAGCATAACTGTTTGGATTTTATAAATTATCAAACGAAAATAAGAGAAGATCTGTTAAATAAACCTTTGCCCTATAGAGAAAAACTATTTATTGATGGGTCCTCTCGATGCCTAGAAGGAAAAATATTGGGTTATGTAATTATCGAGAGGCAGAAGATGGAAGTGTTTGAAAAGGGGAAATTACCTGCTGGGTGGTCAGCACAAGTCTGTGAACTCTATGCCCTAAAACAGACATTGGTATATTTGAGAGATAAGGAAGGGACAGTGTACACAGACTCAAAGTATGCATTTGGAGTGGTCCACACATTTGGAAAAATATGGGAAGAAAGAGGGCTTATAAATACAAAAGGGAAGGAGCTAGTACACGAGCGGCTGATCAGAGAAGTTTTAGAAGCCCTGAAGCTCCCCACAGAAATTGCAATTGTGCATGTGAAAGGACATCAGAGGGGAGCATCAATGGAAATAAGGGGGAATAATTTAGCAGATTAAGTAGCCAGAGAAGCAGCTACAGAATCATCATTGGTAGTTTTATTGGTAATAATACCAGGGGATTATGAGAATTTAGCCCCAAATTTCACAGAACAAGAAAAGGATATACTTAAAAATAAGGGGGGAAAAGATTCAGAAGGAAAATGGACTTTAGCAGATGGAAGGCAGATGTTAAACAAAACAAGATCATGAGAAATTCAGATCATGAGAAATTCTGTCATTAATACATTAGAAAATACATTGGGGAACACAATCACTTTGTGATCATTTCCTTAGACAATATGGGTGTATAGGAATATATATGGTGGCTAAACAACTAGTTGATCGATGTTTGATTTGTTAAAAAGTGAACAAAAAGGTAATGAGATAAAAAAAAAAAAAAAAAAAAAAAAAAAAAAAAAGGTGGCTGGGGAATAGGAGCTAGCCATACAAAGCCTCCAGGTAGACTTAACAGAGCTACCTTAAATACAAAGGTGGAAGTATTTGTTGGTATTAGTGGCTCACTTAACTCATTGGGTGGAAGCAATCCCCCACACCAAGGGCAATGGCAAGCATGGTATCCAAGGTGTTACTGGAAAACATTATCCCCAGATATGGATTAATAGAAAGAATAGACTTGGGCGGAGGAACACATTTCATTTTAAAAATTATACAACAGCTATCTGAAGCCTTAGGGATCGAATGGGCATGGCACACCCCATGGCATCCTCGGAGTTCTGGAAGAGGAGAAAGAATGAATCAAACTTCAAAACAAACCTTGACTAAGTTAATGATTGAGACTCAGATGTCTTGGATTAAATGCCTGCCGTTGGCCTTATTAAGGATCAATACTCAGCCACGAACAGACCTGGGTATTTCTCCCTATGAAATGATGTTTGGATTACTATGTATGAGTAATGACAGGGATATTGTCATCCCTGAAGTAGGAGATCAGTATGTAAGAAAGTATGTAATAAGAATTGGTAACACTTTAATGAAACATTGGTAACACTTTAATGAAACTGAGAAAGAAAGGACTTCTGCCTCAAATATCACCATTGGCTTTTAATATCCACAATGTAAAACCAGGTGATTGGGTATTGATAAAAGTGTGGAAAGATTAATCATTAACTCCCGAGTGGGAAGGTCCATTTCAGGTGCTGCTGATCACCGAGACAGCGATCCGAACAAAAGAAAAGGGGTGGACTCTTGCCTCCTGAGGAAAAGGACTGGTGGAAAAGCCTCAGGAGTGGACTGTGGTACCATCAACTGACCAACTACAAGTCACCCTCAAAGGACTAAGTAAATTCATCAGGAGGGGATTGAATGACTCTTAACCAGTGGTTTGACTGGGTTTTTGACTGGGTTCAGAGGTAACACTGTGAAAATTTACTTATTCATTTACTTACTTGCTGTATAAGGAAACAAAAACAAAAAAACAGACAAAACCAAACAAAAAAAACTGTCAGGGAAAAGCTGGCGTTTACCGAGCATTAACTGACAGACATGTTACAGAGTGGCTTTTGGTAACAGATTATGAGCATTTTGGATTCAATTAGGCATTGCTAGAAAATCAACCTAATAGGGTAATACCTTGTCTCGAGTGTATGTATGGATGTCATGAAGCGTGGGTTTTGTGTGAATGTGAAATGTGTTACCGGATGTGGTACTTCTTGCAGATGGAGAAAATTGTCTTATAACTGTATAGGGAAGGGGCATGAACTGTAACCTTGATTTACGGGGAAAAAGAGGTTAGTCCCCAGAATTTGTGATGTCCCTGAGAGTTGATGGGAGGACACTATCGGAAAGTGCCAAAATTTTGCTTTGCTTAGAAACAAAGGAAGTGGCTACAAAGGAGCTGCACTTGAATTGACTAACTCTTAACACACGGATTTGTTAAACAGTAGAGGGCAAGACCGGGTTAACCTCTGTGCTCGCCACCAAGAAGACCTTTTTCTCAGCTGTGGGCTGCAACCCCATAGGCATGAGAGGTGGGAGTATATGTTATACCGGACCTCTGCTAATCATCCTGGTATGGTTTGCTTTAATAGTGGCAAATTTGTGCAGCAAGTGCTTTACTGTTATGTCCAACATCAGAGTGGCTTTGCTTTCCCAAAGACAGAAGGGTGGATGGAGATATTTTAGTGGGAAGAAGAGAATCCAAGTAAAAGATGTGACAGAAGTAAAACAGCCAGTACCAAAACCGCCGAAAAGACCTATAACAGAACTTTCAACATGGTTAACCAAAGGAGATGGTGGTTTACATAAGCAGATACAACTACATGCGTACTTGAAAGAGGAACATTTACAAGGGCAAAAGATATGTAGTAAAAAGGCAAACAAAGTGAGGGCTACCAACATCAAGGCTGCACAATAAATTGCTGCCCATGCATAAGCACGCTCCATTGTTTTCGCGGTATCGGAGGTACAAGAGTGAGAGCGCGAGTGGCGAACCTGCCTGGTCTGTAGGGATCAGGAGTCAGGGTCCACATACGCAGCAGGAAAATGGATTTCCACGCCCCCAGTCCAAAGCGCATGTGTTGCTGGAGGGTCTCGAAAGTTCGGCTATACCCGGATGGCAAAAACAACTGCCAGGCCCGCCCAGATCTAGGCAGCACAGGCATTCTGGGTGGAAGAGAAACTTCCGCTCATTGCGCACTTGGACCTTCCTCGGTCAAGCCGCTAGCCTGGGGCTGGACTATCCCACTAATCTTACTGATCCCACTGGATTGCAATCTTGGGAAGATGGGAGTAGGGGACGATCCCGTGTGCGCCGGCCTGCTGTTGGGATTTTTCATTATATTGGTGGTGACTGTCGTTGCCATCGCGGTATGCGAGGGAATGTCTCGTGGCTGGTGTCGGAGAAGATCACCTCCTCCCCCCAATCCTCCAAGATCACGAAGACAACTAAGACGCCCTCGAAACCGTGATGAGGTGATGGAAACAGACTTATAGTTCAAAGAAGAAAATGTTATTGATCAGAGGAGTTACCGCGCGGCGCGTGACTGTTGTTCTTGGACTCTATCTTTCTGTCGCTATCGCCCCGTGAGTAAGGGTAACAAGACATCGAAGGACAACATCCAAAGGACAGTGCTCATATCTTTAGTTCTTACTTTTTCTCTTTCTGATTGTGTCGCGTGGGACTTTGCTGGATTGTTATACAGTTAATTATTTCAGGTTCTTGTTTGCTAATAAATTGTTGATTATTGTTTACAGAGTGTCTGATAGTACGGTTGACTGTACAGTTCGGCACACAGCTCGAATGTGCTTAACACCAACAGGTGAAACAGTAGTAGCAAATTGCATGTTGGTCACAACTTGTTGGATTAACTGAACAAAGCAAGGAATAAATAACACACGGCAAAAACATTAAGGCGACAACTGCACATAGCAGATAGAATAAGAGCTGTTTTACCTATGGTGCTCTGAAAACACCCTCAATGTTAGATTCAGAATGGTGGGATGATCTATTAGGAGCTTCCTGGTGGAAAAGATTGTTGTGAATGCGTTATGCCACGTGAAAACTATGATTGTAATTGTAAGGTATTATCTTGAGAGTGTTATGATAAATGTTGGAATTGTGGAAAAAGGTTTGTTTGCAGTGACGAAAATGAAAGTAGCATCTAATAAACAATAATAGGATAAAAGAAAAAGGGGGGATTGTAAGAAACTATGAACTAAGGGTATTGTTTATTGAAATTTATGTTAAGCTCAATGTAAAGGTTAGGCGGCAAAAGACAAAAAAAACTGCTTATGCAAATAGCTGCCAGACACCACTTGTGTGAGACAAGATAACCTGTGAGACAAGATGACTGCGTGAGATAAGATAACCGCAATTGCTTACACAAACCAGATACTTGTGCAAGCAGAAGGGGGTACTGATCAAAGACAACCACGAATGTAAAAATGTATAAAAAGGAACTGTTTGAACTGATCAGTACGGCAGTTGGCGGAGCGCAGACTCCCCTGTCGTCCAGCGCTGTCTTTGCTCATATTCTACTTGCTATAATTAATAAAATTATAATTGGATTATGATCCATTGTGGTCTCAATTTATAACAGATCAGGAGGAGAGAGTGCGTAGAAAATGGGTTATGGGTACTACTGCTGTGATGTGTGTCTCTATAAAGAGGCCTTCCTGTTACTGGAAGCCCAATAACATGGCAGCTGGCTGAACCATGTAGCTTTTTGGAGTAAAGTGGCTGATAATGCTAATTTTCTTGTGATTTTGTGCATATGTCAGTGATGTGGATATTGTACAACAGCACAGAGCTTACCTGCTTAACTAGCTAAGTGGCGTTATGTCCAGCACTGACACGCTGGCAGTATGCTGAAGAGGGGCACTAATCCACTTGTACTATTACATAATTTTATTTCTTGGGCTTTGAATTTGTAAAATTAACTGCTGAGCTGACACATAACTCATAACAGCTCTTGTAGAAAAGATAGTTAACTGTATATTTTGTACATAATTTCTGCCAATTCGCTTACTTGTCAACTGCATCTTAAACTCAGTGCTTTACAGTCTTTACGGGCATGCCACATTCCCTGTTAAGTGAATAATCTGTTACTTGAATCTGTGCTCGTACCTTATTTTTATTTACCCTTCTGTTTGTGTTGTTTTCCAGATCAAGTGTGTTAAGGGGGACCTTTTCTCATGTCCCCCAACGGACTCGTTGGCTCATTGCATCAGCGAAGACTGTCGTATGGGTGCAGGCATAGCTGTTCTTTTTAAGAAAAAGTTTGGAGGCGTACAAGAGCTGTTGGATCAACGTGAGTGATACGCTTGGGGTGGAGATGCAGGAGCTGAAGGGAAACCTTGATTTCCAGCAGTAAGGGTATTCCAAGCTACTTGGGGTGCAGGGAGAATTACGTAGTGGAATGTAACTGTTTCAAAAATACCATCTTAATTTTTTCACTTTAGAAAAGAAAACTGGGGATGTGGCAGTCCTCCGAAGAGAGGACCGATACATTTACTACCTGGTAAGAATGGAACATTACTCATGCACTTCCCCGTAACTAAACTATATTAAATATGATAAGGGCTTTAATAGTTGTGATTTTTTTTATCATGTTCTTCTAAATAAGAAGTGTGCAATGTATTATTCAAATATTGCTACTTGAGAAGGAGCCAAGCTGTGTTGTGTATATATATTTAAACTTTAAATGGACGGAACTGGTTGCTAAATTACATTGTTTTAAGCTATGAAACGTAGTTCTTTTTCCAGGTTTATTCTCTTCGCAGTAGCAAATCTGGGTGTGGAGTTTCAGAGTGTAGTGGAATGTGGTTTTTAAAAAATAAAGTAGTTTGCAGTTACTATGCCAAAGGCACAATTGACCTTTTACATTTATACTTAGATTACAAAGAAGAAGGTTTCTCACAAACCAACATATGAGACTATGCGAAAGAGTTTAGAAGCCATGAAAGCTCACTGTCTGAACAATGGAGTTACTGACATTTCCATGCCTAGGTAAGAAAATTAGTCACTGCTATGTAAATACTTCAGTGTTTCTTGCATAGAAGGATTTTTGAGAGATGATCCCCTGCTGTGAAATAAGAGTTCCAAGTATCCACTTCTTCTTCTATTCAACACTTCTGTTCACTTGTGCAAATAAATTTACATTGCCCAATGTGTTTAAATGATAGCAGAACATACAGGCTTGGTTGTTTTCTTATTTTAACTACCCTATGTTGACTTAGGTGAGCTGTGTTAGTGGCACATAAAACTGTAGCTGCTTGAAGGGCTAGTTGTTCATAGCACGTTCCAAAACAAGCCATTACAGTTTTTTTGATGTCTCATTTTCCAGGATTGGATGTGGACTTGACCGCCTGGATTGGAATAAAGTTTCAGAAATACTTGGGGAAGTATTTGAAGACACAGATATAAAGATCACAGTTTATACTCTGTGAGCGAAAGAATTTAAAGGGAGCCCCATTTCCTTTGCTTTCAGGAGTGGAAAACTGTTAACTGATGAGGGGGGGAAACTGCATGCTGAGCACATTCTTCATCTGAGCGTAGCTCACTCTTGTGTTGGCAACAAAAAGAAAAAAGCTCCAGAGCACGTAATTTTGGATATAGTGTTCAGGGAGCCTGTGAAGAAGGCAGGGGTGTTGTAACCCTGGGGGAGTTCCCAGTCTGTCCCAGCAAGCCACCAGATGTCACTGGTCCTCCACAGAGGACCTGCCTGCACTAGAGGTTCTACGTAAAGCTGACAGTTCCTATGCAGAGTGAAATTGGAGCTGTCTGTTGCTGAGGTATTTGTTGGTTTGTAGTAATGATGAGCTGTGGAGCCCTGTAACTGTTATTTTTTTAAAAGTTTTGCAGTGTTCATATCTGGCATACAGTTCCCTTACTCTTTGTTACAGGATTAAAAATTTAATTTCTACCTTCTGGCTACAAATGCAATTTTTAGTTATGAGATTGTACTTGCTAGGAATTTTGCTGCCAACATTAAATAAATAACTTTTCAGGACTGTGCTGTCAGATGAGAGCACAGTCCTTTTGGAAAAACATACTGATGTCTGTATGTGTTGTGGCTGTGTTCAGGGGAAATGCTGGAGGTGTGTATAGACACCATGTGGGTGCATTATGTACCGTATAATTGGTATAGTTTGCAGAACTCAATTTTATGAGATTCCACATGTAAATGACTGTTGTGCTATGAAAAGTCATAGTATGGAGTTTAAGGTTTGTTTTTCATATTTCTTTTTTTACTGCATTCATAATTTAGGTGTTACATGTAGGGTGGTGTTTGCTGTCATCAATAGCAAAAGTAAATCAGTAACAGTTCAGCAGATCACTGATAAACACTTGATTTTTGTAAGGTTTGGTTCCAGTACTGAAGAACTATCATATACTCAGCCTTTCCTTTCTGTTTGTTTTTTCCCACTCCCCCCTAATAAATCTTTGTGACTTTTTTTATAGTGAATGTCCGGAAAAGTGCCACATATGTTGAATAAACCTAAAATGTGAGATATAACAGTTGAAGTTTGTAGCATAACATAGGGTTCCTAATTGGTTTTTCACTATGGATTGAATGGGTGGAGCGTTTTCTGTTCTTAGCCTTGTGGATTAATCTGTGCTGTGTGGTTTCTTTGCTGATGCAGATGTGCAAATCCTGTTTGTGTCTTTAAGAGCTTCATAATATTACTCTCCGTGTTTGTTGACCATCCTTTGTAAACTTGCTTTTGGTGGATAATTGCTGTAGCTAAATATACAACTGGGGGGGGTGGTGGAATAAACTCACTAAGACAAATAGGAACTTGGAGTATTGAACTGGTCAAGAGTGGACATAAAGGCTGCTCATTGATTTAGCCCTTATGCTTATTTATGTTTGTTTTCTTAAATCTAGTGGCACAGAGGTGAAATCCACAGTGGCTCCACAGAGGGTTTTTCATTGCTGCTTGTTTTTTCTGCCTTGAAAATTTATGCCAGGATTTAGTGTAGTTGACTGAGGTAGGAGATGGTTGCGGTCAGCAGTTTTATTTGTGTGTATGTGTATGTCTAGCACCTTTCCTGCTTGTGACAGTGCAGGAGAAACCAACATGAAGAACTGATTGGAAGCATGATCCCTATCTGACTCTGTTTCTTAGCTGATGAGTGTCCTTGCAACCCTTGTTTGGTCTGTGCCTCCTTTTATATAGGACATGATGTGCCCATATTTTCTCTCTCTCTCTCTCTCTCTCTCTCTCTCTCTCACACACACACACACTTATATGTACTCTTGAAATTTTTCTGGCATATAGTAATTCTCCTTTCTCATGCTGTACTTCAGCTATGAAATATTTCATACATGGCTGTCCCAGGATGTCTCACTTGTCAGATTGAATTTAGGACCTCTTACAAATAGAGAAGGAGGAATAAATAGTACTATAGGTTTTTGCAGTGACTTCTAATTTTATTTCACTTTGCTTTTCCCAGTTTTATGTCACAAACATCACTGAACAAGGGGAGAAGGCATTTGATGTATTTGAAATGAAGTTCCTAGGGCTCCGTCATAATTTAGAATAGACCAGTTAGGGCTAACTTAAATCATAGCTCTGATTATTGAGGAGGTCAGAGGAAGAAAACCTTTTTGTCATCTTAAATCCCTTTTAACATTTACGAAGTACGTACTTTCTAAATGCATTTATCTAATGGGCAGCCTTGTTCTAAGATCTTTTCTCATAAAGTAGTCCTGCTATGTGAGGTCTACAGTCTTTCCTATAGGTCCACTGCAATCCATTTCATTCAAGGCTGTAATCACACAGCATGTTGCCTTCTTTCTTATCAGCAGAGGCAGCATGGGTTTGTTTAGGGTAGGAGGCAGGGAGGAACAAAATAAACCAAAAAAATCCCAAACACCAAAGATCTGTGTTGTATATGTATTTGTAGTCCATCAGGGCCTCATCTTCCAGAAGTTGATGTTCCATCCTGCTGGAATCAAAGCTTTGGAAAGCAGGAGTGTCCCAGATAGCCAAGTCCGTTGCATCTCTCTTCATAGATCTTTTCTGAATTAGTTGTGAGGAAGGAAAAAGAGCAACATGTTAGAAACTTTAAATGCTTTCATGTTGTGTGGTTTAAATAGGTGACTCTTCACTACCCCTTTAAAAAAAACAGGGAATTCTGCAATGATCACCATGGTTTTCTTTAATGTTTATTTTTTTTTCTAGAGGGCTAGACTTTGGGGTGGGGGGGAAATCCCCTTTTCTCTACATTCCTCTCACTGTTCCCACAAGTGTCCTGAATATCACATATGTGGGGAACAGTGAGGTATTCTTGTTGTACCTAGTGACCCTAGTACCTTTTCATTCCTGGAGATTTTTACTCTGAGGAGAAAAAGAAAAGCCCTAAATCCCTTACGTGTCTGCTGTGGAGTAGTCCACTGTAGCATTACTACCCTTGAAAGGGTAAGGTACTGCCTAGGATTATTTTCAGTATTCAGATACAGGCAAACCCAGCCAGGTATTTTGAGAGTAACAGTAATGGAAATTGGCTCTGGGCTACGCCTTTAACAACCCAAAGTAAAACCAGGAGTTGGTAATACTAATACAAGGAGATAAGTGACCAAGTGGAAATCCTCACTCACGTGAGCTTCAGTGCAAAATCTCAGCCAGCTTTTCCTCATAATATTGGAAGTTCTCTTGAATGTCCTCCCATGGCACGAAAGCCTTTGCTGCCTCTCCTTCCTCCTGTTCCACAAAGTTCTGCCAGACATACTCAAAGTCTTGAGGCTTCATAATCCTCAGCTTGCAGCCAACTGACTTCATTTTTTTCAGGGCAGCCTGCATTTCTGGCTCTTCCCACATGAAGAGGCGCCCTACCATGATTGTCAGATGCAGGTTCTTGTTCTTCTTTAGGGTCTCGGTTATGTGATCAGCGCAGGTCACGCAGGGACTGGAGGAGACGTACCAAGTGATGTTGTAGCGGAGGCTTGAGTCACACTTTGGTAAGATTGTGTTGAAGAAAGCCATTTCTGCATGGGCAGCTGCATGCTCATCTTCCAGGTAACCCCGAGAAGTCACTGACTCTTTGCCTTGGGTCTCAAGAACATAACACAGGAAGGTTTTGTTCCTGCCTGAGCTGTATTCCACATTCCTGAACTGGAATTTGAAAAACATGGCTGGGAGGCGCTCTCTATAGAGAGTGGAGAGGAGAGAATCATCTCAGAGGCAGATAATAAAGGGTTATAGCATTGGTTTAGTTCCTGTGTGTGATCTTGGACAAGTCGCTGCATCTATGATGGCTGTATTTCTCCGTGTATTAAAAGGAGATGCCTTTTAATAGGAGGATAAAAATACATTAAATATTATAAGATATTCAACTAGTTTTGCTGTGTGGTGAAGGCTTCCAGGCCCATTTTCACTACCTAGTCTTTTTCACTGAATTTTAAGTAACTGTTACAGGAAGTTTCTGGTATCTACATTTGAGGTATTTGAAGAGGAACTTGCTTCTGAAATGTATTTCTGGAGACTATGATATTTACTGTTAAAAGGAGGGATGGCAGCTGGCATTTTTCTAGTCTTAATGCACCTGTAGCCTGAACTGTTCTGTTTTCTAGGCCATTAACATAGTTCTTTCAGGGTGGTGTTGCAGTGTTAATCTGTGGCATTTGTTGTCCTGAATTGTTAGGATGATAACTGTCATTGCTAATTAATGTTTTACCCCCAGTGCTTTTACAGGCTGGATCTCCTCTGAGGAGAGGCAAGTGTGACTGACTACTTGCAGTTTTTACGTGTTCTGATCTTACTCTTCCAGTATCAGTGGAATACTAATGCTCAGTAGGATTATATTGTGACTTCAGTTTAATAAAATATCTGAGATGCACTTTTTCACAGCAACATTAGATTTTATTTCCTACTGAAGCTCAATAGCGGTCTCATGGATACTACTGATAAACTTCAGGTACTTTTAATTTGTTGTGCACCTCTTCCATTCTGGGTTTCTAAATAAGAATAATCCAAAGTGAATTATTGCAGTGAGTAATGTGTTTGCAATCCTCTTTCACTCAAACAGGGTAGTCTGCTGTTATGTTAACTTCCTTAAATGAGTCCCTTAAAATACAGTGTATAGCTTTTATGCATTGCTGACTGAAGAGGTGAAAAAGGGAAACGGCATTGTCCCACAGTACCTGTTCCTTTCTTATGGAATACCAGGCTTTCACGATTGCCCCCTGTAGCATCTAACTGTGGAGCACATAAGTATAAGAACTAGTACTTGAAGGATGTTGGGTGGAAAGATTAAAAAGATATTGCTGAGAATGAGCCTTTGTGACCCGTGAAATGCTGCAAAGTGTAAGAGTGAAGACTGCACAGAGTAGCCAAAACCAAAGTGAAATAATGAAAAGTAGTAACACAGCATTTCACTTACTACACACTAGTAATCTTCCAGTGTGTTGTACTCCTCTCATCTGAGCCTTAGGTGGACCTATAACCTTGCTATTCCCAGTGAGGCAATAATGAATCTTTGTAAAACAGAAAGTGTCTTATTCATCCCTGTCTCATCTACAGTCAGATTATAATGTCAGTCCTCTCCAGGGGGGTACACTGATCAAAGGTCAGGAGAGATTCTCAGACTCCTGGAAATTTTAATTGGGGAGAGCAATTAGGCTGCAGGAGTAAGTGGCAAAGTGTCATTCTGCTGAGAGGAAGGAACGATCTGTGATGCAACATCTCACAAGATGTCTCCAGAGGCAGTGGAAATAAATGGTATGAAAAAGAGTGAAAAGAATCAAAATAGATATGTTATGCTCACTTAGTAATGTGGGAACGACAAGTGAATGTCCTGTCAGCTTGCTAGTGGGAAATGCTGGTATGGGGGACAGTGAAAATGTGGGATGGTTGCAGGTCAGGAGTAAGGACTGTTCATGAAGAGCTGGATCTGTCCCCTTTAAAATTGGGGAATTTTTTTCCTATAGAGTGCAAAGGACGAGGCTTTGCTAGGACTGCATGAAAAGCCCCAAACAGCATGATACTCTGTGCAAATCAGAGGGATTGAGATGGGAATTCTGAGCAGAAGGACCGGGGAATAAGCACTTAGGAGTTCTGCATGTAATACCTGACTGCAAATGCTATTTTACATACCATAAGCAAATGGCTTTTTGTTTAGGAACAAATTGGAACTAGCGTGCTGTCTAAATACATAACTCAGTAAATTATAGCTATTGTCAAGCTTCTTTAGCTGTGTTATTTTGAAAGCAAATACAATTTTCCATAAATGTTTAATTCCACATACAAAGTTTCAGAAATTTCTCTTTTGTATATGTATATTCCGTACTTGCCTTAACACAGCCAGGATTTTTTTTTGCTGTCAAAGCCTGGTGGCATTTTAGGCTTTTGAGAAAGTTAAAACATAAAAGAACACCCTGTCTATTTAACTTTTTATGATACTACAGAAGTATCTAGGGTCCATTTGGGCCTGCTACACAGATCCACAGTAAAAGGCCCGGAGTTATTTCCCAGTTCTGTTTTGGATTTCCCAACACATGATTTTACAGATGAATAACTTCACTTGGAATATCAGTGTACTATACTAGCCAAATGGTGTGAGAGTTGATGTGGTTAGGTTGGCACAGTTGTACTTTTTACTGAGAGAGGAAGATCATTAGTCTTCTGAATGCAACAATATGTACGAGTCAAAACTGTTTCGCTCCTAGAATTGCATCTACACCGGAAATATCTACTGTTGCTGTCAGTCAAGGAACACTGTAATTCTTTTCACATATCATTAATTCGTGACAGTGGAAGTTTAGAGTACAAGTTTGGCTTTAGAAATTTTACTAGAAGCAGGTTTTCAGCTGCTTCTTAGACAATACAATTAAACTCTTAAATTGTTCAATTCTGCTTAGATGGGATCTGCACAAGATGGGACTTAAACAATAGAAGAGCCTGTTTGGGAGCCTTCCATGCTATTACTGTTTTAGCAGGCAGTGTATTAATGAGGGATGAGAAGCAGTAGTGTGGATACAGACTTTCATTTTGATTAATGAGCAAATAAATCTTGCTGTTTGGATATGATTTGGTTTACAGTTCTCTGCACAAACCGGGATAAGGGAAAATTGCACTGGCTTGCACAACTTCTAAACTACACAGAAAGACTACTTTAACTGCCTTTTCTTAGCATTTTGACCTCTGTTCCTGTATATGTTAGATGACTTAAAGTTACCTGTTAGAGTGAGTCTCATTTTCTTTAAGATGAATTGCAAGACTTCCACTGATTTTATTAAAGACTACTATCAGACCATTTACTATAGTCCCTCTTACTCCCTGAACTCCTTTCTCTTATTGAGACAAAAAAAAATCACATGCTTCTGAGAACAGTGCTTTTCCTGCTTTATATCCAAGATAGTGAGTTGTTCCTTGGTTAATGATTCTTTAATGATTTCTTTGAGGGCCAGCTATGTTGGGTTTGACATAAGCCACCCATTGCCTTGTTTCAGAGCTAAGTTTGTAAGGCTGCAATAAGTTGTTTTAAAGTAACATCATGTATTTAAATTAGCACATCAGAGTCACATGGAAGTTCATTCCTGATTGAACTCTCTTGACTGCAAAGCAGTTACATCAGTGATGAGATTGAGTCTCTGTTTTGATGAACTGTTTAAACAGCAGTGATCTGTTCCAGGATGTATTGACTCAGAAGTGTATTTAGTCAGACCTTCTAGATGGATTTTATTGCTTATCATCTCAGCATACATCTAAAATTAGCTGGGGTGTTTACCTAAATCTGTCCTCCTAACAACATGGAATGTGCATTAGCTTAATAAGTTTCTGAAAAAGAATATAAACAAAGGTAAGGGCATTTTCCAAGTCTAAGTAGCTGGCTGAGAGCTTGGAAAATTTTCTGATCGTGAATACACAGGCAAACAATGAGCTGTGTGTGCTAGTTAGGAGGAACCTGCTTAATGCCATGTAAATTAGGGCAGGGAGGACATTTCAGCACAAGTGCAAGCTGTAAACTTTGGTCCTGACAGGGTTTAGCTGAGTCCCTGCTATGTGACTCTTTCCAGCAGAGGGGATTTGAGCAAGGTGTCTCTGGTCCTGTGAGTGATTGGAAAGCCCCGTAGTGAGTGATTCAGCAGTGGAAGAATGGGCAAGAACAAACCACATGTACTGGAAGACTGCACATGCACTTAAGTGCCATATGCTGCGTAATCTCACCTTTGAATTAAAGCATGCTTGGCAGATGACCCTCATAACATTGCAAAGTGAAGTATCTTAATTGCATCGTTTATTTGGGTAGATTAATTCTCTTTGCAAACAACTGAGCATCAGAATACATCCCTGAAATAGCTGTGTCGTCTACTACAACAAAGCCCACTTCTTTGGAAACTCAAGTCTGGCTTCAGATAGTCTGTTCCTGAGTAAATGACTAATTCTTGGCAAGCCTGTTTTCCCATGTTTGAATGGCAGGTGATGTACAAATGTTAATATTATCTCTGTTTTACCTCCCCCTTTTTTTTTATCCAGCATTAAGGAAAGATAATTCTAACAAAATACACATAGATGTAAGTTCCATTCTCATCTTTTCTTACACTGAAAGCTGCACTGCTATAAATGCTAAACAAAAAAAACTGTCATCTTGCATGTGACTTCACAATCTATTAAAGTATACAAATATCAGATATTTCAGACTAATTGCTTTTCTGCTTCTGTTTTTTTCTTGCAATTAGTGAAGTTTTCTTGCCATTTCTCTCTACTAAAGGCATCGTATTCCATGTAAGACTTGCAGGGAGGTTTTATGTATATGGAAGGTTCTTTTAGTAATTGTTTACAGCCACTGAACTGTCGCCATACTCTTAATAAATCACCTGCTCCAACAATAGGATACGCTGCAAGTGAGCTATGTGACCATCTGTATGGGAAGGTAAAAGCTGAAATCTTCATTCTCCTACTTCCCTGAAGACCATCATTAAGTGGTGTGATCTTTATGGATTTTCTAAATGCCTTAAACCTAACTTATGAAGTGCTTGTCCTGGGTAGCAAAGTGTTTTGTCATCTGTTAGATCATATTGAGATGAAAATGATGGAAATGCTGAGACAGAAACCTCAGTCTGTAACAATGATACTGGATTGAACAGATAATGTGCTTTTAAGTGTGCTGAAATAAGGTAGGCTGGAGGAATACAGCAGCTGCCCAGAACTACTGCATGCTAGGTAGAAGAGAATGGGAACCTCTGAGAGAATAAAAATGTGGGATTATCTAAAAAAAAAAAAAAAATGCTGTAAACTAGTAGGAGATACTGTTTAGGTTTAAATATTTGTTCAGTGAGTATACTATGGTCTTAAATTTGCTTGCTCTTTGACAACTATTCACAAATAAGCACATTTATGCTGGTCTTATTGATTACAGAAAGCCTGTAATGATCAACTGTAACAGGAACCAAGGATTTATCACTGTTAAAAGTAGCCTCATTTATACCCTGGGGAAAGTGTAAATAAATGTATCTACTTAAATGTTATGAAATGTACGCAAATGGGGCTTATATTTATCCAGGACTGTGAGGCAAATGTTGACAAAAAAGGAGTTAATATTTTTAAACAGAGTAATTATGTTCCCAGTATTTTTCTTGTAAGCCAGACTCCTTAGAGATATTGGCAACAGCTTGAAAACTTGACTGTCATAAGATGCCCCTAATTTAAGGGCTAAAACCGAAATGTAATTGAATGTAAGTACTTCCACAGTTGCAGTTATGTATTTTTTGTAATTCACATAACTGGCTTTATTGACTGAAAATTTGTAAAAATCCAAACAGTGATCATACCAGGTCGAGACAGTCTAAACTCACAGTGTACTTCTTAAAGTAAAAATTACTGGATTTTTCTGTACCACTTTCTAGATCCTTTAGGATTTCTGCTTTACCTCCTCATTCTCACATTTAATAGCCAGCATATTAGTAATAAACTAATAATCAGAGGAGACTTTGTTATGATTCCTACAGGAATTTACTAGATTAATTATAAGCACTTTCCAAATAATACTGTGATGAGGATGGTCTAAAGACTCGCATCCTGACAGCTCTGTGGTCCCTCACCAAACACCTGAGTACTTCCATGTCAGAAACTTAAATTCCTATCTTGCTTGGTATCAGGGTATAGAATGTGAAAATCAGCTGGTACCAGCTTAATGTATGTAGATGCCATAGCACAGACTTCAACTCATCCTTAGAAAAGCATTGCCTGAGGCTTTCTTGCATCACTTTCTGCTCTTACTCTCGTGCCTCTGCCCCGGTGCAGTTCCAGCAGTGTGGCTCATTCCTAAGCCTTGGCAAGTTAACTTTTCCTATTGTTACCCCTTTCTGAAAGCACCTGTCATCCCTCACATTCTTGCTGCCACCTTTCCAGAGTGGAAAGTCCTGTCAAATTCTGCAACACCCTTGTCATTTCAACAAATAATTTCATTGCAGGATGATGCTAAAAATATTTTTCATCCATGATTAGCACACTAATTCCTATCCATGTAGTTGGGGTTAGCAAGGAATTTTGAAGATACTGTCCAATTCCTTAGCATTTTTAATTGCAAGTTAATTGTTGTAAAGCTGAAAAATCAGATTTCCTCACTGAGATTCATTTTAGTACATGTTTTAAGAGTCTGGAAGTTGTCACCATATGTGTTGTTGGTCCAATGGCTTATATAAACAATTTTTATTGTCTTAGCTTCATGCCTAGCAGAGGGATGTGCTTTTCTTAAAAGTCACTGCTCTAGCAGACATATTATTTCTGTGATTGTGTATGACAGAGACCAAAGGCTGCAAACAGCCCCTCCCCAAGAAGTGATTTTTCAGAGCAGACACATTTTAACAAGAAAAAAATTTTTTTTCACCCCTGTGTAGGAATGTAACCCAATTGTATGAGATCAGATAAAGGTGCTGTCCTGCCTCATGCACTGTTTTCAGAAATGCCAGCCAAATTTTATTTGCAGAATCTTTCTCACCAGTGACCACATCACGGGCAGAAAGATTCAAAGTGGGATTTTACAGTCTGGCCTGAGCTTTACATTCAAGCAGCTGTAAAAAATAATGGTTTTGGTTTACCCGCTGGGAACACTGCCTTGGTGACTGCTAAGGGAGACCAGAGGGAAGAATGACATAGGGCATCTTGCTACTACTACAGTGAGCACTTTGAAATGCTTAGAGATAGCAGATTGCAGAGTTTTTTCTAGTTGCAGCTGTCAATTAAGTCTGACAGAGTTCAGCTTCCTTGTAGATCTCTGTTATATCTGCCTTTTTCAAAGGCCAGGCTCACTGGAGCAAAAGGAGCTGCTTGCTGCTTTGCTATCTTGAAAACTGCCTTTTGTTTTGGTGCCTTTCTGTGAATTAGGCTTTTTTGAAAGTCAGGTTCCTGCTGTGGGTGTGGAGCCCTTGAAAATATGAACTTCTAGCTCTCTTGAAAAATCTGTCCCTTAGGTCCATAAAGCAAATCAGCCGTAGCAGGGGTATTTTTCCTAATCTACAGACAGAGAAACTTTCAGACAAGAGCCATTAATCACACCAAGAAATCAATATTCAGTGCTCATCAAGGGCCAATACCTTCCATCCCACTATCATCTGGCAAGCGATCCCATTGCAGTCAGTGGGGCTCCTTGTGCTATAAGGGAATCAGTCAACACTATAGAAACAGACCTGCTTGTATAATAGAAACAGATTTGTCTGCTGCCTGGTGTGAATCCATCCTCTCTAAAACTTGGTGAAACTTTTAACAAAATCTCAAAATAATGAAAGCTGTACTTACACCATTTAAAAATACTCAGAAGTGCACTGGTTGCAGATGCTGTCTTTAATTACCCAACATAAGAGGTGAGGCAGAGACCTTTGGACATTCCCATTTCACTCTCTTGCACCCTCATATTTATATCTAAACCTCTTACCCTGTCACAATTTCAAATGGCGGCAGGTCTTCCCGCTTCACTTTCTTCTTTTTTTCCTCACCCTCTTCTGCATTGTCAGGTTCACCGTTCTGGGTGTTGCTGGGCTCCTCCTGCTTTTCTGCCATCTTCTTGAGTATAGGGGTATTAAATTATGGCCACTGGGAAAAAGAAAGAGCAATTTCTGAGAGCTCTAAGTGAGAGGAGACAGCAGAGGGAGGAGGGAAAAACAGAGCTGGGAGTTCCTGCAGTAGACACAGTTGTCAGGAGCTAAATATGGAACAAAGCAGCGCTGATAGAGGCTGGATGGGGTAGGATGACCCAGGGCTCTCAGATGTTGCCTCCTTCCCTTGCTTTCTCTTGCTCTTTTTTAACAATCTCTCTTGCTCCCCTTTTAATTTAAAATTAAGTGACGACTTCACTGTGGGCGGGTTAAGCAATGGGTGGAAAATCCTGGAAGCATAAGTATCTATTTATCCGTTAGTGTGACAGATAGCTGGCAAGATACAGAGCTGGCAGCTTTTCCTTCTACGTTCTTTTGCCAGTTTATTATATTGCTGACCTTGAAGGACCACTGTTTTGGCTCAGGCAAGAGAGGAAAGGGGCAGTCTCCATTTGGTTTTCTGAAAAATCCCCATTGTTGGTGGATTTGGGCTCATGGGCCACCTGGAGCGTCACAGCAGGAGTGCTCAGAGGAGCAGGAGACCTGCCCTTTCCTTCCACCCTGCTCGTCCATGCAGGGACACTGAAAACAAGAGGTGAACAGGGTAAAATCTTGATTGTTGAAGTTAGTGTCAGATCATACTGGGGTAAATGTGAGCCAGAACCTTCTCCCAAATATTCTAAAGTCAGACTTATAATTCACAGTGGGGCAGTATTTCTGGTGCAGGGCAATTCCACGTGCGTGTGCTGAGCATCTGCCCGTTGTGTATTTTTTCTCTCCGTTGCCTGAATGTTTGAAAAGTTCCCAGCATAGTGGGAGCAATAACATAGCTAGGTAAGAGTAAGCAGTTGAAAACTGCTGGACTTAGTGATTCCTGCAGTATTTCTTTGTTTCTTTCACATTTGCACTGCAGAGGATGCAGATGTTGAACGAGTGATTGCACTGGGGCCAAAGAATCGGAGGGATGAGAGCCTGTGGTGGAGGTGTGATGAGAAGTGAAGTGTGTGTGGTTATGCAGTAATAACTGGGACTGGTGTCAGCAGCGTGCCGAGGACAGAGTATTGGAGACATTCTGGTAAGGTACTTACTGGGATTTGTCTGAACTGGTGTGGGTGTGGAATCTGCCTTTCATACAAAGAAACAAGAAGGACTATAAAGATTTTATTGCCACGAGTTTGGGATGTTTGGTTTGCTCGGCACTGTATCAAGCAGATTTCTTGAAGAGGCAGTGGTAACTTAGGAGGATACTTGGGGGTAATGTAGCCTTCACATGAGCTCTAAAAAGAGTTTTATATGTTTGGTTTGGGGGAGTTGTCTTTTTTTTTTTTTTTTTTTTGCCTTCAGGATTATGTGAATTTCTTCCAATTTCTCACTCTAAATTTAAATCATTTAAAGTTTGTATAAAGCCCATGTGAGCCAAGTCTAGTGAAAACCTGAGTTGAGGGTGAAAGTAAATGGAAAATGTGTAGCTCTGCAGAACTCATATTTTAGCCAAAGCATATTGGAAATCAAATCTCCAGTATCTTGGGTTCTGCACTTAGTTCAGAACCCACCGTCACCAAGATTTGGATAAATATGAAATATTAAGCTATATTTGATCGAGTGTTCAGTCTGTACTTAGTGGAAAAACTGTTCTTAGTTTGTGGAGGATAAACTCTATTCTGTGGAAGTCAAACAGGTGTGAGTACCTGCTTTCAGACCAAACTCAGTCTTTGTGATACTGTTATAGTCGGCTCCTTAGAGACTTCAGATGGGTCTGTGCTATCACAAAGTGAAACAGATTTATGCCATTGGGCAGATAATTTATTATCATAGATAATTCATTCAGGCTTCTCTTTCAAGCCCCTTTGCTGACAACAGTCTCTCTGTGCTACAGTATCCTTTGTAGATTTTAATTAGTAACATCATTGAAACACAGTCCTTCTGGGGACGGAGCACCCCCCCTTTTACTCCCACACTGTTTGCTAGTGATGAGAAGTTGTTTATTTGATGACTGACACAACTGACATGGAGAGTATTGTGACAACAGCGCAGTGAAGGATTTGACAAGTTCCAAGACATCCTATCTGTGGAACATATATCTTTCATTCTCATAGTGCAGAATTTTATTTATTTTTAAGCTTAAAATACTTTCCTGGAGGGCAGGTGTAGTGTTTTCCCTCTTGCATGGAGACTGTGCTCAAATTCCAACTCCCCTGTCCAATTACTCTCACCTTTGACATTTCAGGCACTGGTTTTGGGGATGGGAATCCTCTCTTAATGAGTGACAGCTTGTTTCCTTCTTACCCTAATACTTTAAAGCAGCATTCCAGCCCCTCTTCAGTCCCTCTGACCCACTTTTCTTTATTTTTGGAAGCTCTTGATGGCTAGGGTCCCACCTTTCCTGCAGCCTTTAGCTTTCACTGGCCTGGCCCCTCTGCAGAGTTCAGAGCTGAGCTCTAATCTAATCTCGGGAATGTGGCACTGAGACTCTACCTCTACCCAGCCCTTCCCCAGCTGCTTCACAGCTCCATCTAGGGCAGTGCACTAAATAGTCATGATCCACCCCCCTGCAGCGTCTGCCTGCGCCAAAAATATAAAAGGACACCACCGAGTTGCTGTCAATCTGACGTTTTGTGTTAGAGCCATAGGAACGAAAGCTTTGATCAATTTTGTTTGGCTGGTTTTAAGTGACCCTAGTTTCCCCGAAGTGAGCACATGTGTACAAGAGTGGGCGTGCATGGGCCTAATGACTGAAGCCAGTGATGGAAGTTATTTTCCGTCAGCTAGTTCAGAAAAGGAGCTGGAGCACCGGGTGCTGAGGGGTGCTAGGGATGAAGCTAGCCTCACATAAGGACCTCCCAATGGCACTTCAGTTAACTAAAATCATTGTACTTGCCAACCAGCATTTTTATTGAGGTTTTCCTCCACCCTCTCCCCACTGATTTAGTGGTTTATTTAGTTGACTGTGCATTTAGTTGACATTCTCCTCGGAGAGCCCTGCACAGCAGAATCGCTGCTCAGCCACAGAAGAGGCACAAGAGATCCACACGCACGTCAGGTCTCACGCAGGGAGAATGAGAATCAGCCTGTTGCCTCTCCCCCACAGCAGGGGCTAAACCGTGCTCGTTTCCAGCAGAGCCCCATGGCCTCTCCCCATACCCAGCCCGGAGGTGCAGGCTCTTCCCTCGTAGGTCATCCTCGTCAGCTGCTGCCCCTCGTGTGTGGGGAAACCTCCAACGGAGTGGCCACAACCCTGCACCGCAGCCACAGGGTCGGCTCTCGAGCCAGCTCCATCTCAGTGGCACAAACCCAAGCTTGCGGTTTCCTGACGGTTCTCCGTCCTGCGACAGATGTGTCCCGCAACATCTGGCAGTCTGGCTCCCCCTGTTTTGCTTCACTGTGTGGGGACATCAAGGCCAGAATGGCTGAGCAGCGCTAGATGAAGTCATGGGGAGGAGTAGACCTCAAAGACACCAACTTGCGGTAAGATTTGAAGAGCTGTCTGCATGGGAATGCTGCCAGCAAAGGCAACTGCTAGCAAGGCAAGGCTACGATGACAGCCTGTTCTGGGAGAAGCTTTCTGCCTTTGCTGGAGTATTGGATATTAAGGTCTGATCCTGCATCCATCCAGGTCCAGAATAGTTTCACCACTGACTTTAGAGGCATCTCTGGACAATCTGATGACTATATTTCCATCTTAAATATGTATCTCACAGAGAGAGTACTGTATTCCCTTGACTTGTCTCCCAGGCAGGTTGTCTGCTGTTCATCTAATTGCAGCAGGAGTTTCTTTCCTGGAGTTAAAATGGCTGTTTTCCTTTCCTGGTCACAAAGGGGCAGTAGAAGAGACCTGGCTGCGAAAGTCCCTGCCAGGAAAAGGAGTCTTTTATTGCATTCTTGGGCTGGAGGAACATTTTTGGATAGATGCGAGAGTGAAATAAGACACTGACTGCGTGAGTCATGGCTCAGACGTGCTCTCTATTCCAAGGGGACAGCTGGTGGCACTAACAAAACATCTCCCTAGATACATTGTCTGGCAGCAATCCCCCTCCTGCTTTTTCCAGCTGTAACTACCGTTACGTGATAAATAAATAAACACTCTGACAGTGATGTGCAGAGGCAGCTTTCCTTCCCTCTGCCCCCGTAGGCTCTCACCTGTCTCTTTCCTCCCGCTGCAGGACCACAAGGCCAAGATTTAAAAGAAGGGGCAGAAAACACCGGTATCAGACACCGCAGCATCCCAGGGGTTTGACCTGGACAGTGCCATGGCCCTCCATGCAGGGCGATAGCTCCCTGTGAAAGGCACTACACCGGAGCTGAAGGGAGCCGTGGTGCAGGCAGAGATAAGCCATGCTCTCGCCTCCTTGCCTGCCTTATCTTCACAACTAAAGCCTGGGCCTCCCCGGCCCGTGACCCCCAACCCTCGCACACCCACGCTGCTGTAGAGCCGGGAAGGAGCGTGTTTTGTTGGCAGGTGCCCTTGGCTGGCTAATTAATTCAAAGCCCAACTGGAAGTTAATGACCGCTCCAAGCAGCACAACCTCCTTCCTGCTGGGCTTCTGCTGCAGTTTTACTGGGAGTGGTTCAAGGGGAAGGTCTGCACCAGCCATGCTGCAGGTGCTCAAAGCCACAGGAGTTTATATTCGGCACCACCCCATGCTAACAAAGGGATGGTGGGGAGAACTGCTGTATATAGGCAGCTCTCTGAAGTTTACATGCACACAGCAGCAAATCCTCTCTAGCATTTGACTCTGTATTTTAATATAGCTCCAGACATCAGCAAATCAATTAAAGTTCCTTACTACTGAAGCCAGAGTGTTTTCTGGAACAGCTGGTAAATTATTGAAAGAGACAAGGCTTAGGAAAAGAGACTGGACTGAAGGGCAGAAAGATTTTGTTTATGCACAAATACTCTGTATCCAGCAGCCAGGGGCTTGTGCCCTTTGGGCTAAGATCAAGTGTAATGATCAGTTTAGTATCAAATACATTTTTCTGGTAAGACTGGCTGAAGTTTGAAGAGAGGGATCATCATTAGACATGGTGATCTGAGAGGTGGCTCTTCTCACTAAATGCCGTGACCCCATGGAAGCTGTCACGAATGCGCAGCCTTTGTCTGAGTCACTGCTTGAATCATGTAGCCCGCGACACGGCCCGTCGTGAGTTACGAATGTTCCTGATGCTGGGTGGGACATGGTATCCATTTCATAAACTAACTGGGGGGGGCAGGGGCTAGACAAACACCTTGCATGCCTGCTGGGGTGATCCAGCCTGTCTGTCGCCTGGTTAATGCCGGCATAAGTAAAACTTCCCAGTGCTCCTTTTTGGATCCCCTGGGGAAAAGGGCCCCTTGGGAGGATGGTGTGTGGCAGGGAGGGCCCTGAGCTCATGCACTTCCAATCCCCTCACTCAGATGCAAAGTTTCGGTGATTTTTAGCAAGCCGGGTTCCTCACTGCGCTTTGGATTTCTAGCACCTCTTTAGGTTTTGGTTTTTTCCTCTTCCCTTTAGTTCATTTGTAACACAGGGATGGAGCCAGACAAGGGCTGCAGGGCCACGTGCTTCTTCCAGCCATCGTGTGACCAGGAGCACAAGCCCCATTACACAGCACTACTGGGGAACCAGAGCCACAAAGGCAGGGGCTGATTTTGGTCTGCACTGCACAGTGTAACTAAGAAATTTTCTAGATGACTGACTTTGAAATGTTGTTAAAGTTATTTTTATGCAAGGGGTTTTAGTGTATCTGTTTAAACAGCAAATATACTAAATGATGCTTTAAATATTAATACAGGAGGGTGCTTTGCTGAATTTGTCAATTGATTTCAAGCTATTACGTATATTACATGTAGGAACATCTATTTTTGCTGCCTGCAAGAAAATGCAGGTAGCAAAGGTAAGCTATTAGTGCACTTACAAGTGGACTGGAAGGAAGAGGAACTGAAATGAAGACAAGAACAAGTCAGCTAGTCACACCAGTTGGGAAAACGGGGAGGGTAAACATGAAAAGATGCAAAAAAATCTGTTACTCTTAATTCCAGATTTTCTTTTATGTGCAGAAAAACATGGAAAGAAGGGGAAAGAGGATTAATTTATGAAAGCTGACCAAATATGCATCCATATATTGAATTTGGAAATGTTATTAAAACACTGCAGGTTTGAACCAGATCTGGAGTCACTTACCAACTGAAATGTGATTTAAATACTCTTCCCCTTTCCAAAAGCAGGGATCACTGTAACGACTTGCCTTATCCCTCCTGGCTTCACTAGGTGGCTCTGCTCCTCTATTCCTCGTGGCTTTGCCATGCTAACTGGGAAAGGACGGGCATAATGACGTTCAGGCTCCCTAAATCATTCTTAACTCCACTGAATTGAATCTCCAGCCCAGATATTAACTTATTTTTTGGAAGAAATAATTTATGTCTTCCTGTCCTTTGGCATGTGGCTTTCTGGAAGACACAGATGAGGCATCACAGTAAATAAGCTCAGTGGTAACATACAGTTATAGAAAGCCCTGAAATATACAGGACTTTTTTTTCACTTTTTTTTTTTTTTTTTTTTTTTTTAAGTAGCCAATGATCTTTCTAGTACTGCTTGCAGTGCTCATGCTTTATAGTCCTACTCCTGCTTACAGCCACATCTATTCAATGGCCTGTTCTTATGCAGCTTTTTACTCATGAGATTACAGCAATATGCTTGCAGCAGCAGTCCTGTATAAAGGTATCCTGTAGCTAGAAGGGAAAAATAATGGATGGGATCAAAATGACAGGTCAAAATATATGACCAAATTTAGATTTCAACTGCTCTCAGCTACTGGTATTTGTTTCTCTTGGCCCCAGCTTTCAGTCGTGCTGAGCACCCAGCTCTGCCACTGACATGAGCTGGAACCAGGAATATTCAGCATCTCTAAAAATCAGACTTGATGTGACTTGGGAAGGACCCCAAAACCAAGAATTAGCTTCCTTACCTTGAAGCTGTGGGTGAAGCATAGTGGAGGATCCTGTCATGGGGATGCACCCCCAAGTGAACATGTCTCCACTGTGCAGGGGCTGAAGGAAATTTGGGACATTTAGGCTCAAAACCCACACAGCCTGTTTACTCCTAACGTGCCCGGGGATGAGTCTGGCTGCCGGAGCCCTGCAGAGCCTTGCAGCTGATCCTCTTCCCTTTGGAGCCAGAGCACAAGCCATGGACTCCAGACAGGATCTCTTGAGCTTTTGCAAACGTAGTGCCAGACCAATAAAACAAGAATAACTTGGATTTATTTATTCTCTAAACAAAAGTGGCTTGTTTTTTTTAAAAGCAAATACAATTTATTTTATATCCCCAGCTAAGCCCTCCTACCCCCCGCCCCCCTTTGCAGGTATACCCACGCACCTTAATCTACAATCAGCTGCCAAAAAGAAGATCCACTTACCACTTTTCTTCACATGTATTGCTCTTATCAGTTAAAAAAATAATAGTAAATATTCTCTGTAGACAGCAACATCTAAGGTTCAGATCTATCAAAGGCAATAGCCAGAATAATGGATAGACAAGGGCTGGTCCACACACCTCTTGTGTCTGATTCTGTCATGGCTTTGTCTCATTTCTCTGGAACTACTTGTATTTTAACCTTTCTTGATTAATAATATTCAGGAATGGAAAGACTCGGATGAGATAGCTGTACTGCACCTGACAGACTTGGCATGGGGCTTTTTGCCAATCGTGTAATTACAACCTTCAAGGCAGCATGAGCAAGTTCTTAAATTTTACAAAGGCTCTTATGCTTCTGTACTTCAAAGAAACATTTTAAGTATTTCTTTCAAAGGCACTGATGTTAGTTTTTCTTTTCTGATGAGGAATAGCGCACAGAGGTGGAAAAGAGAAATTTCCTCTTGGGAGAACCATTTGCATTCTAATCATTGCTGCTTTATCTTGTAGCATGAAACTCAAGAAGTGCGATACTCCACAAATAGAAGTCAAAGTGCCCAGTCTCCTTTCACTAGCAGAACAAGACAGATTACTACTTGCTCAGTAGCTGACAGATAAAAAGTTAATGGTATAAAGCACAAACCAGGTGATACATGAAAATGAAGCAACAGCACAAATAGCAAAAAATCAAGTAAGTTCTTAAAAATTGGTGTGCATGGTGGAAGGGCATTTTTGTTTGGTCCCAGAAGAGGAGATGGGATTTACAATGTGTGTGAACAAGTTCTGTTCTCTGGGGGAATGGTAGCAGTTTTGAGGGGTGTCCAGGATTGCTACTCTGAATTCTGCTTGGTATCATGAGATCCTAATTTGGCTAATGGAATTTGACGTGATATCGTTATGGTCAACACATAGCTGTAGCCCCCAAACCTCAACAGTGCTGGAGAAAATAGTTCCCGGGTTAAGGATGCATGGTCACTTTAAAGGAGCACACAAGTGCATGGTGCAGACTTTTCTTTTACACAACCACGGTGAAGGTGGGAAGAGGAGGCATGTTCTGATGCCTGTTCCAAAATGAATCCCCCAAATTATTAGATCTTGGTTCACATCAGCTTAGTTTAGTTTCACAAAATGCCTTCGTTTCTGTCCTGTTATTCACTTTTTCCTGGTTTTGGCTCAGGGTTGTCCTTCCAGATGCGGATTGTGAGACAAGTTGCCATGGCCAGCCAGCCCAGGTACGGCACCATCAGCAGCGTTGCTATCTTGTTGATGCGGTACCAGGAGCACATCGTGCCTATCACCAGGCCGTCCAGGCACAGGATGTCAATCAGTGCCTGGAGCAGAGAGAAGAGAAAAGAATGACTCTGGTGCTCACTCTTGGGCACATGCAGCAGGCTTCCCCGGCACAGCTATAAACTGTCCTACTACGGGTGGTGAGATGGAAGAGAAATGGGAGAGGTTTAGCACTGAAAAGTCACCTAGAGTGATCCTAAACCCCAACACCTTGGCTCTGAATTCTAATCAGTGACATCTGAATATATCACCAGGAGCCAAAACTAATGTTAATCTTTTTTTTGTTCATTATCAAGTTTCACTGATGAATACACTGTTTATGATGATCAGTGCCCCCTTCTGCTGATAATGCCTATGCAGACAGATCAGAAACATGCTTATGTTAGTACCGATGGCTGTTATCACTTAACAAACTTCCTAAACGTACTTTTCATCCACAGAATGACAAAATTCAGATGGAAATACAAATCTCAGTCCATGCCTCCATCACCTCCAGGCTTTGGCCCCTGAGGTAAGTGCTTTTTGGATGTAGCACAAGTCCTGCTCTGCCATGCCATGCCTTACCTTCGTGCACATCCTCCTAACAGGCTCTGCAATGCACAGTGCTTTGTATTTGCTTGATAAGCCACTCACAGCTAATACACCTCCCCAGGGATGCTTTGCTGTTTGCCAGCACAGGGTGTGACTCCCAGAAGGACTTATCTCTAACCCCGAATCCTTAACTAGGAGATGCAGCAGCTGGACAACTGACTCCCTGATCTCCCGCTCTGGTCAGGCCGGCTATCTGCGTGGCAGGAGCAGGGTGAGGGGTGGAAGGGACTGATACCATTGTCTAGAACAAGGCACAATGTGAACCATATCTGAGCAAAAGCTCTTCTTGCAGCTCTCTTTACAGTTGCGTAGTTGAAAAACCTCCAAACAACCCCAAAACCCATGTGGCAGGGACACCAGCAAACAAACCTCCAGCAGATGCATGGATGGGCAGATACATTACCAACTTCATGTTACGTGCACCGAAGAAGAAGGGAGGCCAAGCCCAGTTCAAGGCTAGCTGAGCCCCGTAGAGACCAAGCGGGACGATAGCTTTGCTGCTGCAGCCACCCAGGTCATTCCATATCAGGTAGGAGGCATAGCTGTGAAGAGGGAAACACATTCGTGTTTTGCAGTGAGTAAATCCCCCATACAGACAAACTCTTTTCATGTAAGATTGTGTCGCAACAGGGATTTGCAGGACAGTCATAGTTGCATGACAGCTGCATCCATGTCCCTCCCTGCGCTCAAACCCATCGCCTGTCTCGTACCTGCGTGGCTTGTACAGCTTCCCAGGGCAGTGGCTGTTTTTAGTATCAGTTTACAAAGCCGAGCATGGGCTGTGCCCTTGGCCAAAAGCATTGCCTGCGGTGTGAATCTGAGGAACTCAGCCCAGAATTTGGCTCAGGCTGTACTTAGCGTACCTGACATGCCCTGCTGATTTGGGTCCAAGGGATATCCCAAAAGCAAATGAAGGAGTTTGAAATGGCTGCTCTTCTGTGTGTCAGAAACAGGAGGCTAAGAGGAGGAGCAATATGTAGAACTTACCCCATGCCGGTGTACAGGACAGTCCAAGCAACAGGGAATATTTTGCGGGGTGGACACCATGCAGGCTTTTTCAGCTTCTCATACCAAACAGGTATGTCTTTTCGGTTAAAGAACCAGCCAAGGAAACCTCCAACGTGAGGCAGGACAGTAAAACCAACAGCATAAGCCCACATCCTTCCTTGGTGACTTGAACTTGGCCTGCTGCAAGTTAAAAACAATAATTGATTATCACTTTAAAAGGACATTCTTTCCAGCTTTGATCTTTCAAGCTTTTTCTCTAATTGCCCATATTCCACTTCAGTCTCGAAGGCAGAAGGTAAGTATTTAATACTGTATTCAGCTCTGTTGCTGGCTCCCCTCTGCCCATCTCCCAGTCTTTGAAATGGGGATAATAATTTCTGTCATGGTTACATTTTTCCCCTTGATCTAGTCAGAAAAGTGGCTCCCCCCTGCTATTCCACGGCTTCTTGCAAAACTCATGTGGCAGGGTTCAGCTAAGGTGGTTATATTCTTAGAAGATAAGACTGCAGTTACTTTTATCATTCCTCCTCTGAATGCTTAAGTCAGACAGCACACAAACTTGAACGGAGGCTACACGTCTCAGCAGAGCTCTTCTCTCTCCTCTGCAAGCTATTCTGAATATGAAAACCCACACAGTTCATGCCCAGAAAACCCCATCCATTCTGACTTCACCTAATTTTTCACTGTGGATTTATATTTTAAATGAGATCTATAACAAGACAACATCCTTGCAGCAAATGTTAAGTGCTCAGTGAACCTTGTTTAATCATCCCTGCAGCCTTAGCAGGCAGAGGTGGATTCTCACCTCTGTAAGCTGAGGCACAAGAGTAGTTTCTTAACTTGCTCACGGTTCTCCTCTTGTATTTACTTTAATAATTACATTACGCTCACACACAAGACAGCTTGATAAGGATAACATCTAGCATTTCATTCTCTGTCTCGTATTTTCCCCTGCCATTGTTCTCTACAGGACTCCGAACCTGCCAGTCTTCTGTCCTCCTTCCTTTGGTCTCTGTATTCACCTGCCCTTTTGATCCATTAAGGAATTAACCCCAAATTAGCATTAATGGGGAATAATTCATAGGATTCACCAGGAGCATAGCAGTTTTGTGCTGTCAGCATAAACACAAAATGTACCTGAGCAAATGCACTCAGGAAAGAGTGGGTTTTAGCAATGCAAGAAGAGAGAAGCAGGCACAGAAAATTCCCTTGCCCAGGGAAATGTCCCTGGCACTCTGAGCCCTGGTCAGAGAAACAGGGAGCATGAGGAGAGGACTGATCTGCACAGGCATCTTTATTTGGGATTTTAATTCACAATTAACACTTAGCTATATCCTATGCTAATTGTTATTATTATCATCATGCTACAAAGCATTCATCTTTAGAAACGCACGCCAGCAGTACAAGCCAATTTACACATCAATAAGGACAAATACCCCAGACACCATCTCTAACTAACAATTTCTTTACCAGACAATTTATAGCACTATTAAAGTGTCTATGGAACCAGAAAATCAACCGAACACTGAGAAAAATAATAGCTGTTAGTCCTGCTTTTAAAGTGTAAAACAGCACCAGCTGAGTTCTGGTTCTTCCATAGTACTTCAGAAAAGTAAAATGGGAAAAGTAGATTTTTCCCTCCTCCCAACTCCTCTGAAGTTGCCAGACTAACCTGATAGACTGCAGAAGTAACTGAGGGTTGAAAATAACACAATGCTGTTATAAAACCTTATTTTGTCTCACAGCTGTTATAACTTAACGGGGTAGGAGCTGTAAAAAAACTTACCGTCTCTTACTGCCTTTCTCTCCTTTACAAAGAAAAAGGGTTGGACATCCAAGGCCAGCTCCTGTCTCTACTGCTGGTGTTGCTATACAGTGGAGAAATTGTTGGCTGTGTTTTACCTAAATAGCAGAAAAAAGGGTGTGTGTGCGTGCACTGGTGGCTGTATCAGATTACACAAGAGAGCCCACGTTTGGCAAGAATTACAGGGGATTTGGTGGTGGTTGAGCAACTGTGAGGAGGGCAGGAGTGGTTTCTAGGTCCAGACACAACTGAGATGTGACATCCGAGGCTCTTGGCTTGGTCTGAGGAGAAGTATCTGCCTGTAGGTTAGAGGGTGGCTGCATGGGACAGGGAAGCACAGTTTTATTGGGCTGGGAGTGCACTGGGCATGCAAAAATACAAATTAAAGTGTGTCCCGTATAAATGAACGTGGTAATTGTGTAAGACCTTGTGCATAAGGGATCAAGTCCTTAACAGTAGGACTTCTCTGTGTGTTACAGGGATGTGAGCTGTGCTGATTTACTCCATCCGAGGATCTGTCCCAGAGCATGTCTGTGGGTGTGAGCGCAGGACAGCAGGAGCCCGAGGATGTCCCTGCCATGCCGGTCCCCTGGGCACTGTTTAACAACATTGATTAACCAGATGCTTTCGGTGGTTGCCTGTACACCAGCCTTTTGGCTAAAATTCACTGGAAACCACTTGAATCTAAAATAAAGACATTACACGAGCATGTTAAATGAAAAAAAAGAAAAAAGCTAGAAATCAATTTCCATTAGTAAGCTGTCTGCAAGGGATGGGAAATGAAACACTAATTTACTTCAGTTATGGGTCATTACCTGAATTTCATGGCCAGAGGCAGAATTGCTGGTTCCTAGCAGAATGCAATATTACTGTTATAACATAGAACCAATGAGATCTTCTGTTTTATTGGGCTCAGAAGGAAATTATTTTTTGTGGGAGGAGAAAGAAGGAAAAAACCGGCGTAAAGGGACCGATTTTCAGCTAGCATAAATCAATGCAGTGGTGTGTTTATATAGTGTAATTGCCACTTTGAAATAACAGATGCAGCACACATTAATCAAGCGGTAGCCACCTGCATATTCTTTCAGAGTCTGTTGCTATTTGCGATTGGAAACTTCTGTCGTGCAGTGATGCAGCTCCTCTGTGTGACTGACCGGTTTCCGTTGCAGCCAGCCACTTCTGCGCTGAGGTGGTCATCATGCAGCTTGCTGGGCAGCATTGCCTTCACCAGGCTCCGGCCACTTTGTCAGAAAGCAAGCAGTTCAACAGTTTTTAGTTAGTAGTATTTCCTACCCTGGGCTTGAGCACAAAACCAGGATTACTGGTTTGCTTGGCATATAGCAGTTGTCTTCCTAGGCTGGTTTAGAGTCCAACGGGCTGGAAGAATGGAAGACTAAGGGTCAAATCACAAGGATCTCAGTAAATCTGTGAAGCTGGGGATGGTGCTGCGTAACTGGGGAATAGCAGATGCAAAGAAGAAAAAAAAATAGCAGGGGCAATTACAAGCCTAAAAGTGATGTATCAGCCCTACATGCGCTTTAGGGCAAAGGAAGGAACAAATGAAGACATGGAGGTACCTGGAAAAATGGGACAATGTGTAACAGATTTGCCTGAAGTGGATCACAGCAGGCTGGATGCCACTGCCTGGGCAGATGTCTGTTCCCTAAGCAAGAAGATGTGGTACACCTTGCTTGTCTGGCCTGAATAGCATCTGTTATGGTGTTTATTAGGTGATGACGCTGGCAGAGGGCAGTAGGGCTGCTGGGCAGAAGAGACCACGAGAGGCAACGCAGAAGGACAAGGATCAGGTTTGGGAAGAGTCTTTGATGGCACCAACCAGGGATCCAGGATGATTTTAAATACAGTATGAGGAGGTGCACAGACACACCGAGACAAGCGTGTGTGCGTGCCTCAGGCTTCCCCTTCTGTGTGTGAGCACATGCCACGGGAGGGAACAGTCTTGCAATAAACCGGAAAGACTTTCTGTAGCACAATACTGGTTTTCCTCTGTTACCACAGATTTATGTCTCAATATTTCTGGGTTGAATCATTTTACAGTAATACAAGATGAGGTAATACTACCTCTTAGTAAAATAATTTCTATACTATGTCTTGGTATGCTTCTGATTATTAAAGTAATATTACTGCTGGGTTTCAGATCACTGCCGTATCACTGCAGTGTGTTTTCATGAAAGAAAAGACATGGGAGGATTGAGTTACACAACTGTGTTTGTTATCCCCTTCTTAGCAACCTTTGCACGCTGTCCCAAGAGGTTCTCAGTCTATGCAAGATTAATTGCCCAAATATAAAAGCCCTGTTAACCTGAATATATTATTGAAAAACAGCATATTTCAATCTGCCCTACTTTTGAAAATAGAGATGCCGGGTCAGCTCCTGGCATAAATCTGCAGTGCTCCTCGGAAGCCAGCGGAGCTTCTCTGATTTACATTGGCAATAAAGTCGTCCTGGTTTGTCTGCCACTGATGAGAGAGTGAGCGTGCTCGCCGAGCTGCCACAAAGGGCATGGCGGTGGCCGGGGAGGAGCCTTCATGGCAGTCGGTGTCTTCCGAGCAACTCAAACCTGCCAGCCTCGACACTGCAGGATAAAACATTTAATTTTTCAGTATGAAAAGTCATTTTAAAAAAAAAAAAATCCCTTAGTTTTATTTCTAGTGCTTGTCTTTAAATGTTTTCAGTTATGTTGAAATAAAAATTCCAGATAATATGAAATGATATAGGAATTTCCAGCTGTTCAATCGTTTTTTTTTCCCACGTGGGTTGAGGTGGCCCTGGGCAGACCAGCGCAAGAGCTCATAGCCCCTCAAAACTTGGATGTGGATTGCTGGATGAGCTGAACCTTGCAGCTTGAATTTCCACCCTCTCTCCACTAGAGGGAATTTTAAAACAAATTTTTTTAGGATTAAAGTCTGGTTTTCAGTGTGTTAAAAAGTACAGCCTGCAGGACACTGCTGTATCTGGATGCAGAGGGCATCTTCTGTAAGGCACAAGATCCTTTCTCGGTCCTGGCTGATTATAGCTAATCACAAGAACAAACTCTGTTGTGAGATGAATAGCAGAAAAGGCTCCTTAATTTTTTAGGGCTCAGCCTTTGATTTCTCTCTGCCAGCAGGGAGAACCAGGCGCACCCTGGCTCCCTGCCTCTGCATCCCGCAGGGCTCTGTCTGTGGCCAGCCGTGAGCTGAAAGGCCAGGCTGAGTTTTGAGGTGAATTTTGAATATTGGGGCTTCTCATAGCACTGCTTGTTTGTCAGGGCAGAGCTGGTGAGGGCTGGCGTACAGAGCTGCCTATGTGTGATAACCAAAAGGGGAATGCTTTGGTCTTATCTGTACGCAGAAGTTGCACCTCAGTAGACAAAAGAATAAATTTTAACGGACACAGTTCAACACCTTCTTTCATGTTGGGAGTAGCTTAGTGTAGAGATAGGCAGATGATTGCAAGCAATTAAGTTATGCCGCTTAACAAATTACCACTCTCTAGCTGAACCTCTTTAATTAACCACATGCACAGACCCAGCCCAGCACTAATGAGACATAAAATATTTTGCCCTCAACCACAGTGACCAGTAACACCTGCTCTGCTAGAGTACTTGGTAGCACTAATTTTGACCTGCAGCAGTCGAACTGGCGAGAGCAGGCAGCCGCTACCCCTGAGCACCCTGCGCCGTGTTGGCTGCTCGGCTTGCACGGTGGGATGCTGGGCTTCTGCCACTGCGAGGATGGTACTTGGGGATGTGCAGAGGGCTGGGGTTTTGTCTCTGAGGACTTATCCCTTGCCTGGCAAAAAAAGACCAAAAAAAAAAAAAAAAAAAAAAAGCTGCAGAAATGGCACAAAGTTGCTGGCAGGGTGTTGTATTGCAGTGGGTTCAGTGTTACCACAACTCAGTTGCTTAGTTGTGCCTTACTAAGTCATGATCACAACCCTTGAATTAATGTCGGATTGGGGTATCAGGTTTAAAGTGAGCCAGAATAATAGGGATCACGAAGGACTTTATATTGCCTTAATATAGCAGTTTAAAATGCGTTTCAAGGTCTGTCTTACATGCAGAGTTAATTGAGAAAAGCTATTGCAGTTTCAAGTGATGCTCTCACTAAATTGAGTTCACTTTCATGTGTTGATGTGCCCTAAATTACACTGGTGCAGATTTCCAGCCAGGCAAAGCTTTGTAGTAAGGGCGTGATGTTCACCAGTTATGAAAAAAAATGGGGAGAGAGTTTTCCTGCTGGTACTTTCAGAAGAAAGGCAGAAACTGAGGGGCAGCACTTACCTCTCTGAGGTCTTAAAAAAGCAGCAGATAGCCTCTGGACCCTTAGCTGTATTTTCTGTAACTGTAAGAAAAGATCTTAGACATTTCTCCAACCAGGTGGTTCAGGTAGTGAGTTGGAAAAGTAAGACAAGCATCAGCAACAGGCATCAAATGGTGAATTCAAGGAGACTGGATACGTCCTATTCCTGGAGCAGGATGGTGTGACCCTTTCCTGCACACACCCTGGCTAACTCAGCCTCCTGCCTTTGATTTATAACTCACCTTTCCCTCCTGCGGCTGCAGCATTGCTGAGCTGTCAGTGAGAGGTCGTCAGGGTCTTTCACAAAAGCTCTTCCAGGTTTGAGGGGTCTGTCAAGCCCTTGGCATGCCCAGGGCTCAGTAAGTATAAAACCTGGAAACAAGCTCTGTCCAGTTACTAGCGAAAGCATCAGTCAGCCTGCAAGGTTTTTATTGCTGGCAGTTAAGAAGAAGTGGACCAGCTGTCTTGGATTTTCAGTGGAAGGAGTTTTCTATCCTAATTTATTAATTCAAGGTTTCCTCAAGACCTGGGAAGCAACATCACCTCTAAACCTGCACTTGCTATACAGTTGAGCCCAAGATGAGATTGGCCAAGAAACTTGAAAGTATTTTGTTGTTCTTTTAATGGAAATGCCCTTTTTACTAGGAGGGAAAACTTCAGTAACTGTTTCTTTTTGCTTCTTTTTTTCTAAGTATTTTTTCTGAGAGTTGTGAATCTATCAAAATGCATCAAAACAGTGCTTTGAGAATTTTTTGTTAGGAGAAACACTATGCTTTTCTTCTGTGTTTCTTCAGTCATAGCAGAAATAGAAAGTGAAAAGGTGAAAGACCACAGGAACTGGAGGGAATTCCTAGCAAAGGGAAAATAAAGGTAACAATTCTGCAGAAATTCATGGTCTTATTAAAGGAAGAGAAACCACAACATTTGGAAGATATGACAAATGTGTGGTTTTTTCATTTACTTGTTCTGAAGTGTGCACCCTTTTCTTAAGTTGACAGCCCTAATCTTCGTGTTATTTAGGACCTCCATTTGTTGGGGGTTGGTTTGGGGTTTTTTGTTAGTCACTATAAGCCCATCTCTTTTTCCTTTTTTTTCTCCCCAGATGCAGAGATGTGTGAGTAAAGTGACTCTTGCCTCTTGCAGCCTCCTCTCCAGGAGGCTGCAGCGAGTTGTGAAGGAGAGCTGATGCTTCACATCTGGGCGCCTCCCAGACAGGGTCAGCAGGTGGATCACAGCAGAAATGCGCTATCCGTTCCCCATGCTTTTCTCTGGTGGCTTCTAAGGTCAGTTCCTCAGCAGTTGGGGTGGTTCTTACTGTGGGGGCTTCACCCTTGGCAATGATGGCCCACACCCACCCGCCACAGCAGTGGCTTTTGCAGGAGCGTGGTCTTTTCTGCTCAGCAGCAAAGGAGTTGCCAGCTGCAAAGTCTCGAAGGGATGGAGCACAACGCTTCTGCTGGGGAAAATGCTCAGTTGTATTTTTCCCTGACAACATCTGCATCAGGGAATAGCAAAGATGGGGATGCAGCAAGGGTAGCAGTGCTTGCAAATAAAATGAGCATCTATGAATAGCTGTAGAGTGCTAGAATTTTGCTGTCTTTATGGGTCTGCCTTTCCCTCACTCACAAATGCCAGCTGCTAAAAATGATTCATTTCTTCTTAGAAAGCTGTTCTGCTGTCTTGGCAAAGCCTTGCTGCTTGGTGCCTTGATGGTAGGATCACACTATTTTTAAGGAAATGAAGCTGAGCCATGGTCATTACATGTGTTGTCATTGTTTAGCTACAGATTTTTGCAAGAAGATCTCAAGGAAAAAAAGGGTTGTGAAACATCTTGTGCTACTTGTGTGCTGCTGTAGAGTTCAAAGAGGGTGTCATCTGAGCCATGTAGACCTCATCCAGTTTCAGCTTTCTGACCTTTGGTCCAGGTTCTGCAGAGTAAGTGTAGAACAACCCCACCTAAATCATGGGTGTAAATCCCCCCAGACAAGCACAATCAGCACATGGTAAATGCCAAGGTACCTCCCTGGACTATTCTGGTGAACATGTTGTTGGGCAGAGTCATGGTTCAAGCAAATGTGAGGGCATTTTTGGAGAGAGGGAGTTCTGAATGAGAAATGCGACATGTATAAAGACAGTGTTATGGTTTGGTCTCGCCCGATGACTGGTATAAGTGGAAAACTGAATTTATTGCTTGCTTTGTGCTGAATCAGGTCTTCTAACTTTAACAGAAGAGGCTCCTCCTTTACAGCAGAGACCAATCCAAGGGCATTGAATTACTGCAGTATTCCCCACAGCCATCTGATGATAAGGGTATGTCTAAATGGCATATTGAATGCAGACATGAAATTGCTCTGCCAAAGCTCTTGATATCTGGACAGACTCCAGCTTTGATCCAGAAAGCTGTATGACTGCCAGGAAAGCAGAGCAGAGCCCAACTTCATACATGTCAGAACGGTCACATCTGCTGCAACAAGCTCATCTCGCCCCATGGTCTAACTGATAGTCATACCCCCAGGGTTGTCTTCTCTTGAATTTGCCCAGACCACCATGATTCATGGAGATTGTTTAGGGAAAGTCAGAGAGATCTGGGAATAAGGAATAAATTGGAGAAGACTCTGCATGTCTGGCTGCCATTTCACAGAATGGAAAAAACCACTGGCTTAGTAAACTGTTTGCTGCAAGCTATTCTCACAGCGCTGCCACAAAGGCACTCCTGCTGTCGAGGTGCTAGTGCCAGTTCACGTCAATCATGGGGGTT